AATTCTTTGATGTTCCAGAACCAGCAGACTATGATCAATCAGAAGATGGGTGGGCATCTGACTTTGGTCCTGAAGTATACTCTCAGGTCTGCAACAAATTAGTTATCATTGTTTTTACATGCAAATGAATTTGCAATTAATGGTGCTTCATATCTCATGGAGGATGTGACCCATCATAGAGTGTTGAGTTTCTCCGTTGTTGCTATTTCATTTCTTGTGGCTGTATTATTGTTACTCTAGCATTAAATGAGGCTATTATAGGTTTTGTTTGTTTTGCTCCAATTTTCTCACTTGACTTCTATGTGACTGAGAAATTTGCAGGATACACGCCATCCAAAGTTATCAACTGCTGCTGTATTTGTGAAAAAGTTACATGATCTTGCAGGTGGGTCCCATTTGGATGATCAAGATTCACCATAACTTCTAAATTTATGGCAACAAAGATTTTTTCTTTTTCAAAGGAAGTTGTAGAAAGATAAATTGCTGAAGGCTTACAGTTTTTCTATGTTGCAGTTCAGAAGAGGGGCTACATGGACTTACAAGAAATGACGAGGGAAGATGGCATATGTTGCTCCTATGGAAACACTCTTCCCAAGGATCCAACTTGTTCATTGCCTTGCAGTTGGACAGCTGCAGAACCCTCCACATTTTTAATTCGTGGGGAGAATTACCTAGAAGACAATAAGAAGGTATGAAGAACAATGTTTCACAGAGGACAAAGCTGAAGTGTATGACAAAAGTTCAGCTGGCGCGTTCTGTGGTCGTCCATTGTATGCCTTATGGCATGATATTGCATTGAACTGGCATTTTGTTTCGAATGATCTCTAAATGATACATGTCCTTCCCTGTTTGCCTTGCATGTTTTCTATACAATCAATAGTAGGGTTTCATAGATATCATATGGTGATCAGCTGCTAGAAGTTTGTAGTCCTGGATATCTCTATTGAATTCACTTTGGCTTTCCTTTTATATAGCTCTGTTTTTAGTTTTCCTGCATCAAATTCAACTTCCAGTTTAAAATTCTTTCTTTACTCCTGCTTTCTTCCAGTTTAAGGCCAAGGGCACTTTGATGCAAATGGTTGCTGCAGATTGGCTAAGATCTGACAAACGAGAAGATGACCTAGGAGGGCGTCCTGGGGGCATTGTTCAGGTTTTTCTTTAATATATGTCATTACATTTTTTGTTATTGCGATTTTGAGGTCATTGCTCATGGAGTCACCTATAAGCACAACTGTATTGTTGCATCTGCTATATGTTGCTTGCAAATTGAAAAATTTTACAGAAGTGTTTATCTACAGAAATATGCCGCTCAGGGAGGACCAGAGTTTTTCTTCATTGTAAACATACAGGTACTTTTGTCTGTTGCTTACTCTTAATTCTGTCAAGCTGTATTTCTATCTTTACTCTCATCGGTTGATACAGGTGCCAGGTTCAACAACGTATAGCCTAGCCCTATATTATATGATGAATACTCCCGTGGAAGATTCACCCTTGCTACAGAAATTCATCGGTGGAGATGATGCATATAGAAATTCGAGGTTTAAGCTCATTCCATACATATCCAAGGTTCGTGCATGCAGTATTCAGCTGTTAAGATTGAGAATCTTTAGGTATTCTTGTGTGGAAGTGAAATCACTAGTGGGTTTAATAAAAAAAACTCAAAAACAAATGGTCAAGCTTATGTTTAACTCCTTAAAAGGAGGAACAATTTATGCTTCCACTTGGTGTTTTTAAGAATTAAGGTCTTCTAACAAAATAGCTTTTCCAAATTCTCTGTGCATGCCTTCTCTATCTAGAAAAATTAACTTCTCTCACTTAAGATATACACCTTTTCTTTGTCGGATCACGGAGGTTTTGACTTACCACTGATTTGAAGATTTGCTTTGTAAGAAGATATCCTTAAACTTAAGGTTCCTGAGCTGAGTCTACCCAGGTCTTGTGACCCCTGAAGAAAAGAGTAATTGCATGCATTTTTACAATGAAGACTAGCTGGTTTTCTGCTGTATGAAACTCTATTTCACATTGCGTAAAGCAAAGTTCTAACAGTTGACATCGATTTGTTAGGGATCGTGGATAGTCAAGCAAAGCGTTGGAAAGAAAGCTTGTCTCATTGGCCAAGCTCTGGAAATTAATTATTTCCATGGGAAGAACTACTTGGAGGTAAAATCTTTTGAGCTGTGTGTATATTTCTACGGGTCCAGAGACACACATGCACGACGAATATATGTAGCATTTCCTCCTTTTGGAACAATCAGTTTCACTAATCAGTGTATTTGGATAGACAGGAGAGAAGCGATGTGTGCAGTACAATTATATTTATCTATAGTTGTTTGGATTGTAAATAAGGGATAAGATGAGCATAATTTCATGATAATAACAATTAACTTGGAGAATGCATTTAAAAATTATATAAAATTGCATTGAGTTAGTTTCGTTTCTCTTCGAGCCTCTCCACTTTTGGAAAGAAATGAAACATAGGTTAGAAAATTTCTCTTCCGGAGAAAATGGGTGAGGCGCATCACTTACTAATCGTACAAAGCGTGAGAAATTTTGTGTATGACATGGCATACTGAAATTTTGCAATCCTGATTTCAGCTTGGGATTGACATTGGGTCATCGACAGTCGCAAGGGGCGTGGTCAGTCTTGTGCTTGGTTACCTCAACAATCTGGTTATTGAAATGGCATTTTTGATACAGGTAAAACTAAGCTAACTAAAAATGCAAGTATCTAACATTTGAAGTGGCTTGAAGGCTCTTGAGATCTTCATTTAATAAGATACTTTATCATGAAATCACTTTGAAACAATAAGGAATTGACTTGTTTGAGTTTAAATGTGACCTTTCACCTTTGTCAATGATCTTAAAATTCTTTCAGCGGTCTAAAAATGTTGATTTTCTTACATACAGGCAAATACAGAAGAGGAGCTCCCAGAGTATCTTCTTGGGACGTGCCGGCTGAACCATCTGGACGCAGCAAAATCTGTTCCTGTAGAAGTATGATTATTTCTCAATTTAATGTTTACTTGCTAAGCTGGTTAAGAAGGTAGGATAATGTAGAATAGCAAAATCATATTATTGTTTATGGCATTGCTGCTTCAAAAAAAATTTTCCATTCTTTTATTCAATTCTATCTTAGCAATCTTTTTTTATAAAAAATAAAAATTAAAAAAAAATCAAATAGGAACATCCTACCTACTGCAGCAGCATTTGGTGCTGTAGATATCATATCATTGAAACGAAAAACTACTCTTTGTATAAATGACAGGGTTAATTAGTGTAATCAATTTTTCCACTTAGATTTTCTTAATTTGTTGCCTTACTTTCTTTTCTAAATAGAGTACCCATTGCCGAGTCAGATCAGGCCCGATTAATACTTTTTAAAAAAGCTTATTCAATGCTTGGCTCGAATTTTCCTATTAAGTTAATTCAATTAGTTTATTATTAAAATAATAAATTATTTTTTTAATTGGTTTTTGTCAAAATTTAAGAAGTGTTTCACTTATAATTTTTTTATAATATTATAATTGTTTAATCATAATAAAAAAATTTATAAGAATTTATCACTTATTAAATATAAATTTTATATAAAATTTTAATAATTTTCATATAATTTAAAATTATAATTATTATAATTGAAATGCTTCCAAAATTTAAGAATTTTTTTACAAAGTTCATCTTCAATTGAGTAAAATCTACGGGCTTTTTTCTATCAGCCGATCCATGACATGTATAATTTTTTCTACATTTCTCTACCATTTTGAATCCAAGTAGAATCTCCATGGTATATGGGTGGGGTCCACCACCACCACCAAAGTGGGGCCGGTACGTTTGGGCACCATCTTGTCATTTTGACTATGCCTAAAAATCAACTAAAAAGCCCCCCTCGTATTCTTCTTATGTCCCATAACGGCATTACCCAAGGTGACCGACCGCTTGATATATTATGCGATAGTGGTTTAAAAAAGCTCAAATAGTCAAAACCAGTATGCCCCATTTCACTCGTTCGAATTAGGAATTTTAATTTTATTTAAATTCGATGGAATTTTTTATTTTTTATTTTAATAGAAATAAAAATATATATTAAATTTTAAAAATGAAAATAAAAAATAAGTATAATTTTAAAATTTTATTCAATATAAATACGAAAATAAATAACATAACATTTAATATGTATTCTATATATTTAATAAATTAATTTTGTATTTAATAAATTAAACTTTATTTTAGATTTATTATAACTAATATATTTGTATTTAAAAATACATATTTATAAAAAATACATATCTTATTTTTTATAAGATAAAAATAAAAATAAACTTATTTTTTTATTTTTTTAAATCACACGTACAAAAATTACTCATACATATTAAATATTTATAAAAATAAAAATAAATTTAAAATATCTATTAAGTTAAGTACAAATATGAAAATAAATATAATATAAAAAAAATTAAGACAGAATATATAATATTTAACTCACTTCATACTTTATTCATTAACATTCTTTAACTCAAATACTCATAATTCAACCTATCTTTTTTCTAAAAAATTATATTTGCATTTATTTTATAAATGACAATCAAATAATTTTAAACTTTAAATTTTAATATTTAAAATGTTTTAAATTAAAATTATGATTATTTTTATACCAAAAAAATTTGCTAGCAATTTAAAATGATGATTTGTTCCACTTAAAAAAATGATAATAAACCCATAATTCCGCTTGTTTATTCATATCCAAATCACAAACTCTCCTCAACTCAAGCATAAACGTTTAATCATTTTTAAAGAAAAAAAAAGGTATGATCAACCTATGTATGTTCATCCAAATTGTCATTGTTTAAGGGATGAATTTTATTTTATCCAAAAAAAATAAATTTATTATTTGGTATTTCTCTAATTGGCGTGTTGCCTAGCCAAGCTAAAGCTTCATGTCAAACCAATATTTGCAATAAAAAAAAAAAAGGAAATTCACTCTTTTATTTGCAATATATGCCCATACCCATAAAATTACTTATTTTTACCATTTTACCCCTATTAGGACAGGTAGTTTGAACATTCAACTGTTTCATCTTTCCACTTTGTCGATCATTCTCGCGATCGAGAGATTCGTTTTGTAGTTTCACTTTTCCCAGCTGATTCTGTGTCCCTCTTCGGACACAGATTACAAGCTTAGATCCTAGGGTTTTTCTCCTCTATTTTCCCGGAAAAAATTTCCCAAACCCTGTTTGGCTAGCCAGAAAAATAGAAAAAAAAGGAAGAAATTTACTACATATCAATGTATTTTTGGGTATGTGTATTGTGGGGCCAAATCGTCGATTAAAGAGTTAATTGTGTATCCAAAGTCCCGACACGGGTCGAGGGGATTTATGAGCACGAGATCGCGTTTTTCGATACTGGTAACCCGCTATCTCTGAATATTTCTTCTTTATTTTCCATTTCCCAAATTCTCTTCTTCTCACCTTCTGTTTGCTTGTGTCTCTGGCTTTTTCTTAGGGTTTTATTGTTAACGTGCCCCTTTTCTTTCTTTCTTTCTTTCAGTTCTGGTTCGTTTTCATTTTCGGCTTTTATTTTGTGATTTCTTGTTGTTATTATTAAATATTGTTTTTTTTTCCTGGCAGTGATTGGAGAATTGAGTGAATGGATTCTACTCTCAAATGCTCATTTTTGTTAGTTCTTCTTGGATTAGGTATTCATTGAATAGATTCTTTCTTTTCTTTCCTTTTAGTATTTCTCATTTTGCCCATTTCCATTGGTAATGATGTTTTGAAGTGTTAATTATTTTGAAAATTTGTTGTTTTATTGATATTGTAGTTGTGAATGCCCTTTGTTTAACTGATTCCGAGCATTGCGAAAATGTGGTGAAAAAATGGGCACTTACTTCCCTTGATCATGAAGTTAAAAATAATAAACACACACTGAAGGATTTACTTTTCTTCCTTCATGTTCCCCGGACGGGAGGACGAACCTATTTTCACTGGTAATTTTATTTTTTCAATAGTATAGGATAGATATTTGAACATAAGAAGTCACCATTTTGCTAACTGCAATTAATTCTGCTTTTTCTTTATGTTTGCAGTTTCTTAAAGAAGTTGTATTCGAATTCTTTAGAATGCCCTCGTTCTTATGACAAGCTACGCTTTGATCCTAGGTACCTTTGGAATTTGGTTCTTAATTTAAAGCTGAATGGCAGATTCTACTTTTTTCCTTTACATTTTTTAAGGAAGTTTAATTGATTTTTTCCACCTGAATGCAGTAAGGAAAAATGCAGGTTATTGGTTACTCATGATGACTATAGCATAACCTCTAAACTTCCCAGGGACAGAACATCAGTTGTGACCATCCTTAGGAATCCAGTTGACCGTGTCTTTAGCACTTATGAGTTTTCAGTGGAGGTGGGGGCAAGGTTTCTAGTGCATCCCAACTTAACGTCTGCCATGCAAATGACTGGACGTTTGCGTGCTAAAACTAAAGGAGTAAGTACTCTGGATATATGGCCTTGGAAGTATCTGGTTCCATGGATGAGAGAAGACCTGTTTGCTCGGGTATGTTCTCTCTACTTCTGCATGAATTATTAATCTATTGTCATTTTACACTTTTCCCTGATTTTTGTTCTACTTTTTTACTCTTTATTAGGGATTAAGTTTTCTGTCTGCGGTCAGTGAAGGTCACTGTCTATCCCAGGATTTCCAAGTTTTAACTGAAATGTTTCTATGATATTTAACTCAATTACACCTTTTTGCATTTAGGGGAATGGTGTTGTTACACAACCTTCCACATGCATTATAGTGATCTTCGTAATTGTTAGTTTTATTTGCTTATTAATTTACCTCTTATGATAGTATTACTTTGACTGTTTTAAGAAGTCTAAGCTTCTCTTTCTCAGTTGCCATGATCTAAACCTACCAAGTTTGCATTCATTTTGTATGTTCTGAACTGATCAAGGGGGGGGGGGGGGATGTTGTCTTTTGACAACTACTGTGACTTCTATATGGTTGTTAACCAACTTGCCTGCCTCAATGATATAACTATGCACTAGACATTTATATTTACTTTTATTCTTATGAGCAGAGAAATGCTAGAAAAGCTAGGCGCACCAATGATGTAAAGAGCAGTGATCCCTATAACATGGAAGACATTGTAATGCCGTTACTCAATTACATCAATGACCCTATAGCTCATGAAATTGTCCATAATGGAGCTACATTTCAGGTACTAATCCACATTTTGCAGCATCAGATCTTTTCTATCTATGTTCTTATACAAAATGCTGGTTTACTAATCTAATACACAGATTGCAGGATTGACAAACAACTCTTATTTACCCAAATCACATGAAGTCCGCCATTGTGTAGATAAGTACAAGAATCTTGGTGAATATGTGCTTCAAGTTGCAAAGGTAATTAAAATAGGTTTGAATATTGTAACAACTGTTCATATAAATGATTTTCTGAGTTTTTTCCCTTTTTTCTGGTTTATTGATGCAATTATGGTAGATGCTTGTAAATCTTGCAGAAGAGGTTGGACAATATGTTATATGTTGGTCTAACTGAGGACCATAGGGAATCTGCAACAATGTTTGCCAATGTGGTTGGGGCACAGGTTATCTCCCAGTTGGAAGAATCAAATGCTATTGGTAAGGAGGCCGCTGTCAATAAATCAGGTTAGTGTGGAATTTTATCGCCTTGTAAAACCTTGTTAGATGTTATATTTGTATTATATTGAAGTGCTGATTTGGGCACATCAGCACTTCTTATCTATCTAAGATGATTGAAGTCTAAATATGTGTATACTTGTGCTGCAGAACTGACCACTTCATTTTCAGACTCAGAGCTGGATAGTAATGATCATCAGGTGCTGCATTTTAGCAAATGAATGCTTAATAACTGGATATCAGCTAGAGTAGCACTCTTAACGACTCGTTTTTTCCTGTATGACAGAATCCCAACTCAGATGAAAAGGGGAATGAAACCACATCATCATCAGATGACAATGAAGTAAAGCAAGAGAATGTAAGCCATTTTTTGTAGTGTAATAACTGACTTTTTTATACGGACATACTTCATTGAAAAAAATTATAACTTACATTTTCTTTTATTCCATAACAGATGACTGTCAGAAAACTTATGGAAACTTATGAGGTTTGCATTTCCAGTTTGCGAAAGACCCAAGCACACCGACGTATTGCTTCTTTGAAGAGAATCGCTCCAGCAAACTTCACAAAGGAGGTACTCTAAAACACATTAAAATGCTCCACCATTATTACATACATGTATGTAATCTATTTCTAGAGCATGGTTGGTTTAATAGAATGACTAGTAGTTGAACATTTGGGTTGAAGCAAACCATACCTTAGTAAACATGCTGTATCTGTTATATCCTTCTGTTAGTCTATCTTTTTGCAATGACTGGGATGCAGGCAACTTTTAGGGTTCTAAACATTGTCAAAGGAATTACATATTTGATGCATTGACCGTTAGTTACTTGTTTGGCATTGTCATTTGTAAATCTCTTGTGTGCAGTAAGTAGGGAACATTTAAGATTTAAAAATTAACCGGAAAAACTATTCACAATAAACAGTTGTGGTCTTTTATGGGGGCTTAAACATCAACATTAAACAGAGTTGTGTAAGAAAGTGAGGGAGATGAAAAAGAAAAATAGAAAAGAAGAGAGTTCAACCATAGCTATGTCAGTGTTGGTATCTTCCTCTGTTTGTTGTTAACATTTGAATTTACAGGCACGTCTTCAAGTTCCTCAGATGGTCATCCAGCGGATACAATCACTTAACAACCTTGATTTGGAGCTCTATGAGTATGCTCAAGGCATCTTTGCAAAGCAGCACAACGAAGGTGCAGAGAAGTTGTTTGATACGGTGAGTTTGTTAGACATCCAAGACTTACCGATACGATTTTTCCAAGATGCTTTGTTGGCATTTCTACCTTTCCAACTGATAAGTAATACCAGATAATAATGTTGGAACTTGTAATATCCTGTTAATCAACATTAGGCAGCTGAAACATGCCCTAAATTTTTACTTGTGCATATCATTGATCTGCTTGCTTGATATCTCTGCCCATTTCGGATTCTAACAGGGTGAGCTCTAGGTGCAAGCAGCAATAGTTTTTAATTGTTTCAATCAAAATGTATCCTTATTATGATGCCTAATTTGCAGGAAACACTGGGAAGCATGTTCAATTATTCAGGTGGCATCAAGCTTCAGGATATCTGTTTGTGGGCCATGCCATTTGTCTTGCTCTTTATTTTCTTTTTGTTTGTAAATGCAAAGCGAAGAACATTGAAAGTGAAGATATGAATGTTACTGACCGGTAGTTATATGGATCACAGCCGAAAAAAGTTTTTATAAAGCGGATAAAAAAATAGGGATAAGCTTATCATTCATCTTGCTTGAGTGCTTAAATGTGAAGCTCAACCATTGACTACAAGATTTTTGTTAGAGATGGCTTATGATTAGATAAAAAGCTTTATCATTTGTTTTTAAATTACATGACAATCTCATTTAGTTTTGTAGTTCCTTTCAGGTTGTTTAGACTGGTGGATTGTTTCTTTGAAAACACACTTTGCACCAAATCAGCAGATGTCATTACACTGAGGTAAGGTTGTCCCCTAGTGTCCTCTTAGCTGCTGGTAGTTAGAATTTGAGACTTTGATTTAAATTTTTCAGCTTTTTGGGAAGGGGTTCCCTTTCTATGTGGTCAAGGTCTAATGTAATGAGTGAGGTATGGCTGATGACTATAATAATTTTGTGAAATCCAGAACCACCTGACTTGAAGCAGAATCTTGAATCGTAGAGATTTGTATTGGCTATTGGGCATGTGGTAGGTTTCAGAAAGATGAAATATAGAGATCTATGACCAAAAAATAAACATGGGTATTTAAGTGCTAAACGTAGGCAATGCAGCAAGTTATACATTTGATGACTTAATCGAAACGTGACATTCTCTTGCTTTTCTGATTGATGCTCATCACCATGCAAAAATTTCTTGCCTTTCCGAGGTTGAAAACAATTCAAGGGTTAAGGTACGTACATCGTACTACAAAATATTTGTACTGTAAATGGCTAATGTGAATGATTTATACCTAAACAAAGAAGAATAAGGACCAACTCGCCTTTTGAAATATGTACTGGCAAATGTCAGAGAACAGGTCTTTTTTAATAATTAAAATAATCAGATTTTAAAACTCGATTACTAAAATTGAAAGTTTAAGTTAAAATCGATAACGGAAGGTAAAAAACATTCATTCTTTAATAAAATAGTAACTATTCCATTTCCAATTCAAGCAGATTTAATCTTCAAACTTCCTTTTTTTTTTTTTTTCCAGAACTCAAAATCTCGAATTCCAAGGCTATTCTAAAGGACAAAAAGCACATGCTCCTCTTCTTGTTCTTTAATACACAGACGTTGGCATTGCCCCCAACCCTTTCCTTAGTCAAAGAATGGAGAAAGCAAAGGCAGGCGCCTAAAATTGTGCCCCAACCTCCATGCCACTGTAATCAATCAAATACATATGAAAAAATTTTTAACTACCATAACTACAAAACAAAACAACAGCAGTAAGAAAATCAAAATCTAAAACAAAACAAAAAAAAAATCTCAAAGAGGGTTAAAACAAGAAAATATCAAAATAAAAATGGCAAAAGAAGGGTTAAAGAATGAAAGAAAATGCGAGGAGAGGGAAGGGAAGGGAAGGGACCACAGCATGTGAGAAGCTCCAACTAAATCATTGGGACCCAAATTGCAATACCAAAAAAGACAATGATTTCTCCTCCTCCAACTCCATCACGTCGGTGATCTCTTCAATCTTTCTTTTTTTTTTTTAAACATAATTTAAACTTTTTAGATCTAACCCTCCCCCCAATTTATTTTATTAAGATTAACCCTACTTAAAATTTTCAATTTAGAAAACCCATTTTCTTCAAATTTTTTAGTTTTTATTTTCCCCCTTCCTTTGGTTTTATATAATTATTATAAATGAAAAAAGGTAAGAATATGGAATTATATTAAAAGAGTTAGTAATAAATATTTAATATATTTTCCAAAGATTTAAACATTGAATGATGACAGATGAGCGGTGATTGAAAGGGTAACCGCACATCCACCACCACCATGTGAACCTTTCACTTTCTCTCTCTCTTTCACAATATCCCTAAATATCCCAATCTCAGACATAAGGAGATTCAAAGGAATCTGATCCTTCTCTCTCTGTATTATTTTTTCTCTCCTATTTTCCTCTGATCCAAACAATGCCTCGCCTTCAATATTCTTCTTGAAACCAGGTCCTCTCTCTCTCTCCCTCTTTGCATTTTGCTTTTTTTTTTTTTTGAAAGAAAATGTTTTAAATGTTAACATTTATTAGCATTTTCACTTTCTATTCTGCATTTTAGTTCTGCTTTCTGTTTGGTTCCTCAGAAAATGAAGGGAAAAAACGGTACCAACTCTTTTCTTTGTAATTATTCACTAATTTTTAACTATCTTTTTTGCTACATTTCTTATTTTCCATGTCTCCAAACAATCTCTTTAAAAAAGTACTTGAAATTTTTTTTTCATTATTTTTGAGCTGTTAGTGTTATAAAATTCACCAAATTAGGAAGCTTTATTATTAATATTAATATTATTGCCTAAAATATTACTTAATAGTCCTTAATTGCTTCAAAAGTTTTATTTTTTTATAAGATAAACGAGTTATTGCTCTAGATATTACTGCTTTGTTAAAAAATTATTAAAAAAACCCGTAATTTTAGCTAAATAAGGCCATTTCCAAATGGGATAGTAACTCTTTACTAACCCCTTTTTATATACGTTTTAATTGATTGTTCCACTTGGGTTTAATGTTATAAATACTTAAATTAAACGCGTTTTAAACGTGTTTTTATTATTGTATAGTTGTAATTAACTTTTTTTACTTGTATTTTTGTGAACAGAAAAATTAAGAAAAGAAAATCAGAAAATAAATTATGAGTAATTCTTGGTTTGACAAATGCTTTGATGGGGTCAACGATGATTTCTTTGATGACGTAATAAAGTGTTTGGATTTCCCATTGGAAGATGTTGAAGGGACTGATAGTGGTGGTAGTGAAGAAGATGTGAAAATTTTTCATTTGCCTCTTGATGACGTGGAAGAGAACAATGGTGGTGGTGAAGAGTGGGATTGTAACTTTCAAAACTTAGAGCCGCCGCCTGCTAATGTTTTGGCCGGCTTGTCTTCGGGCTTTTATGGCGATTTTTTCAGTGATAGTTTGGCCAAAAACCTTAATGTTTCAGTGAGTCTCCCTTTTGTTTTCCCTCGCTAGTGATGACTAATGCACATATTTATGAATTTAGTAGTTTTTTTTTGGGAAGTGGGTGATTTTGATGTGTGTACAGTTGCTAATTGATCATTGGAATTCCTTCTCCTGAATTTGTTTTTCACATAGTCCAAGTGGTGTTCTATGGTCAAGTCGTTGGTGTCCATATAAATAATGGTGCATTGATTCTATGACTCATTGACTTGCTGAGAGCTTATTTACTAGGATACATATTCCATATCAATTTTATCATTCATGGCATGGACTAAAAATGTGACCTTTTGCCTACCTTGCTTTTGTCCTGAAAATTTTGCCATCTAATGGATTAGTTTCCTGAGGGTGTCTATAAAGTTTGGTCTAGAGTGTACAATCTACTTTGTGCCTGTCTACATGCCAAATGCTTTGTTGAATGAATGACTGCATGGGAACTTTCACAGTTTGCTTTTCAGAAAGCAACCATTATTGCAATATGGTGATCTTTCATTTATACTTAATTAAAAAGGCAATGTTATGGAAGTGACTTTGTTTCTAAGATATGCAGTGTTTCTCAACCCTGAAGTACTTGCACATTCTGTTCTTTATTGACCAAATTCTTCTGTGAAGCATGCTATGGACAGAGGAAAGCAGGTTATTTAGTGTTGCAAAGAGCCATAATTGAAAATGGTTCAAGAGATTGAGATTTGAGACAATAATCAGATTTTGTACTTTTCAAAAACCAACAGACTACATTGTATTTTGTGCTGCAAATGCAATAATAACATGAGGCATATTATATGCATTCTGGCACCACATGCTGTTACACTGTGGTACAGCTATTTGGTCCAAACAAGCAAGCAGGTCCAATCAGTTCTTGATTTCCCTTGCCGATAAACAGTTGGGACCACCTGATGATGATGCATTGGTTGTGAGTCTCTTATTGATGTTCAATGGCAGTGTGGCTCTTTTTATGATAAATTTTTAAGAGATTTATGCAATTGTTGTAGCTGATAGTTATTCTGAAATGGATGGTGGTCTTCTTTGTTACCATTTTGAATTGAATCCTCCTATAACTACCGCAAAGATGAATAACTACTCCTTTGGGGCTCTCTTCTTTCTTTCTTTCTTTTTTTTTTTTTTTTTTGTTTTTAGGGGATAGGAATATAGTCTTCCTTAACCTCATATCTGATTTTTTTACTGAATTCTTCTTTCCTTTGTATCTAGTGTGATGGATCTTCTCAGCTAAACCAGCTGTCAAGCACTACCAAAGCATCTTCCGGCAGAAGCATAACCCTACACAGCGAGTCCACTGATGTCAAAGGTTCAACCCGTTTCCAGACTTCCAGTCCAGTATCTGTACTTGAAAGCAGTAGCTCTTACTCAGGTGCAAATCTGACACCTATTAACCCTAAACTCGATTTCCTGGTGAAGCGAGGTCGAAGCAAGCGCAGACGAGCATCTACCTTTAACCTGCAGTTCACTTTGCCTTTCATATCCTCCGCCTCCTCTACGTCCGGAGGATCTAATTCTCTGGTTGGTTCTGAATCAGAATCAGAGAGCCATCTTATGGAGAAAACTGCCAAAAAGAGACAGAAGAAGCAGAAGAACCTGATATTGCTTTCAGGTTCCAGTGAGATCAAGAACTCCCCCTCCCAACAGCCTCTTGTTGTTAGGAAATGTATGCACTGTGAAGTTACAAAAACTCCACAATGGAGAGAAGGGCCGCTGGGACCAAAGACCCTTTGTAATGCATGTGGGGTTCGCTACAGGTCTGGCCGCCTCCTTCCAGAGTATCGTCCTGCTGCAAGTCCTACATTTGTCCCATCATTGCACTCCAACTCTCATAAGAAGGTGGTAGAGATGAGAAAAAAAGCCAAGCTGCCAACGACCGTGACACCATCTGTGTTGTCAATCCCACCACAAATATCATTTGGATAGCGACTGCATTGATCATTATTAGTTCAGAAAGATTCACATAGGGAGCTCCATTGTTCTGTCTTGTATTTTTGTTTTCTTTTTGTTTTCCTTATTTCTCAGTGTGTACATTGATGGAATAAGTAGGAACTTAGATGATGACATGTTTGGCAGGAGGACCAGGCAGGAATAAGCAGAAAATATCTCAGTGAAGTGTAGGGGATGGAGGGTGGATTTTCAAATTAGGTTTAGTGATGCTTATGCTGTTCAGAGGTTCTTGACATGTTTGGCAGTAACAGGCTTCATGCTATTCATTTATTCTTCTTAAATGCAATTTTTTTAGAGTCTTGTTCTTTATCTATTCTTTTTCAGAACAGTTATCGGATTTTGTTTTTCAGTAGGGAAAATAGTTAGCCAATTGGGCAAAAATCTGCAATCGAAAGAATGGACACTAAGTCCAAAATGCTTTACGACAAAGCAAAGGAACGAAATTCCTTGAGGTAAAAAAAAAAAAAAAGAGCTATGCATCAAAGTTTAAAGCTTAATATATTGGTGAATCGGTCTTTGGGTTATTCCTAACACTTTCCCTTCAGCATCAAGCTTCATGTTATAAGAAGCAAAATACCAAAAAATGAATAATCTTTGTTCCACCAAAAAAGGGGGAGGAAAAAAAAGAAAGAAAACTTGCAGAGAAAATCTTAAACATTCAAGCTTCATATTCTACTTTCAAAGAACATTCAAAGCAGCCATGAAGTCTAAATGCATCCATTGGGCTATAATATTGTTGTTGAGGTTGTTGAAACCTATTTCTTTGGCAAGAAAGAAGTCTTGGCAGAGTTTGAGCAGACAGGTGCAACAAGTGAAGAAATAGCCTGCTGATGCCAGTGCAACCTCCTCCTGCTTAGTTTTATGGGAACCACTGTATCATCCAATGCATGCCTAAGGCCAACTTTTGTTGCATCCTCACATTCCAACCAACATAACACTGTCCTTCAAACAAAATTCATCATAGTTTCAATGACAAATCGTTGGGGACAAGAAAAGAAGTAAATCTAAAAGTAAGGTCACGATTTTCTCTTGTACTGAAAGATCTCATCCCTTCACGTGGCAAAAATTCGCCGATCTACTATCAACAATCATCGTTCATCACTCAAAATCTTTTACACTTCCTACTAAAAACCACAAACTCGGTCGGGTCAATTGAGTTGAAAACAGTGGAGGACATAACGACAGAGATCACTGGGCTGTCTTCCTTAGCCCATGGGGCCCACATTTACTTCCCCATCATTTTCAGTCCTAGATAGGCCCAAAGTCTTCTATCATCATGGGCCGACACCTATTAATGCCGCCACGTGGAAAATAACAGGCTTGCCCAGGTTGGTCTTTAGCTGTCAGCACAGCCGTAATTAAAATGCGCACGCTAGCAAAAAAAAAAACCCACATGGCCACATCCGATTAGATCGGCGAGCTTGTTATTTTTGTTTTTTTAGGGAAAAAAGAGAAAAGAAGATTTTATAGGAAAAGGAACAAAAATAGAAAATAATAAAAAAAGGACATAATGATAACGGCCTGCTTTATTACGGGAGTTGAAAGGGCTTATTAAGTTTTAGAACAAAAATGTGATGTTTTAGGTAATTTGAAAAGCTTGCTTTTCTCTTTGGACCGTTTTCATGTGACTTTTTATTTTAGGTTTAGGTCATGACAATGGTTGGCCTAAGAAAGTTATGGCCACCAATTTTGCCTTTTTAAGATAAAACACTTTGGCTTTCGTAACAAGATGTACAATATATATATAATACTATTTTTTATTTTTATTATGACTTTCATCCATGGTATTTCTAGTATGTTTTATTAAAGAAATTTTGTAAATTTCGTATTCAAATTCATATTCGGATTAATAATTAATTAAATTTGAAGATATGACTTATTTATAAGTCAAATTGAACATGTCAAATCGAGATGAATAAATTAAATTATATTATAAAATTTTAAGAATTTGAAGTAAAAAATATATTTATAAATTCAATTACAGTGTTCAAAAATAAGAAATAAAGTACATTAATGTGAAAAAATTGTTAGCCATGAAAATGAATATAAGAAGGGAAAAAGAGGGCTTTTGCAAGGACAATACAAACCAACATATTAACCTTTGAAGACCCTAAGAAAGAGGTTGGTTGGGCAATCGGAGTGGGCAATGGCAATGGCAATTAGGCAAGTGGGACTGTGAGACGTGAGACAAAGATGTAAAGTCTAAGCATAAGATAAGAATAGGTTAAAAAATCCGACCTTACATTGTTGTCTGGTCAGACAAAACATTTAATTGTTAAGGGCCATATAGAATTCAATTGGCCATCATGAATTTGATACACCTTTGTCTGTCTGTATCAATGTTAACTCTTCACCAACCACTTCGGATTTCCTTCTCTTCAGGACTTTCCTTTTACCTTTTGCCAGAGCCATGTTTTCCCTCTTGCTTTCTAACAGTTTCATGTTCACTGGATTTGTCTACTTGGATTTCATGTCCCATTGTCGGTTTTGATGTTGTTTCTTCACCAACAGCTTTCAATTTTGTTCTTTTTTCAGGCTGTTTTCTCATCTGTTTGAAATGCTTGGCTTTAAGGGTATTTTCTTCCATTCTTTTTCAATCTTTTGTCTGATTAAGGCTGGAGATCCTGCCAACTCTTTAGACTTATTCTTGGATAATGTTGACAAATTTGTTTGTGAAACTTGACAAGCATTTTCCCATTTTTGTTATGTTTTATTAATTTTCAAGTTTCTAACTAAAACTTTAGCTTCAACTGAAGCCTTGTTGAATTAAAATTAGTTATCTTAAAGCAAGGACAAATACTATATCTTATTTTTTAATTGTATCCAACAAATGTGAAGGTGGGATCATTTTTTTTTCTTTGTTAAATCAACATTATTTTTTATTTTTTTTCAAATCCAAAAAATATAATAAATCAAAATTTTCTATGATGTCTTTTCTATTATGGGGATGAACAAAGGAAGCATTAATTTTCTAATATTTGAATCATATAAAAAAAAAAACAAAGAAAGAAAAAAGTACTAAAAGGAAAAGGTAATAGTAAAGGAAAGGAGGTGAAAAGAGATTGAATTTGCAAGCTATACTTGACATGATGGTGGATGGCAATGGTGCCATCCCATGTGCATTTGCATGCAAATGGTTGCATTTATTTCTTCTCTTAAATTTGTCTTTTATTGTTTGTTGTACCTTTGACTATGTAACATGCCTATTATCATACAGCATCAATTTGAAGAATAGTAAAGAGGGGTCTTTTTTGGAATGAACTAGTGTCTTCAAATTCCTATATTATTCATCTTTTTCATGTTAGATTGTTTTCTTTATCGTGATATCATTACTTCCTCTTTAATTTCAAATTTTAAAGTGTTTCTAAAAATAAAATAATTATCACTAAATTTGCATATAAATAGACCTAATAATTCGTTTATTTGTATCATTTAAAATATTAAAATTTATATATTTATATTATATTTTATACGAAAATTATATATTATAATTCATGTTGACAAAAAAACATGAAATATAATTTTTTTTTTATTTTGTTAAACCTATATATAATTATCACTACATTTTAAAATTATATTATTGTCATATTTTATTTTCGTATCATGTTCATATTATATTTTAAATTTTCAAATTTACATTCAATCCATTGAAATTTCATATTTTCTTCATTCGTTACTTTCATCAAATATACATTAATTTTTCATACCCTATGAATCATATTTTCGAATCAAACTCAAATTGAATGAACCAAAATTTATGATAAAATCAAAGCTTGTATTTAAAGAGAAAAATATATGTATTAGTTCTGAAATTCAAATCTTACAAAAAATAGTCTTGTATATGAAAGATATATGAACTATCTAGATTGAATAATAAATTTGAAACGATGATCATTTATTGAAACTAATCACATCCTAATTAGCATTCATTAATTTTGTATTTGTAACTAAAACCTTAATATTTGAGACCCAAAGTCAATATTAAAAAAAAACAATCCTATAAAAATTGCAAAACTTCGATTTTCTACATGTGAAAATCAAACTCAATCAAACTCATGATATAGTAACCTATTTCTTGCTCACCCACGACTCTTTGCATGAGCATGCCGTCTCAACAGTAACTATTTCCATGAATATTTAAAACAAAAAAAAAAAACCCTTCACGATCACGAGAGGTGAAAACCACCTCCCATCTCCCTTAGCCATTTTGGTTAATGGTTGTTGAAACACGCGCCTAAAAGAAACAAAGAGCAGGAAATTATCATTCTTAGTCCAGTTCCAATCCAATTGGCTTAGTTAACTATCATGAGTGAACCATGGTTAGTTAGTTTTGTCTAGGTTGTTTCAGATACTGTGCTAGAGTGACAGGCCAAAACAGGATTTCTCTTTCCTGTTTACTGCATATATTCTGTCACGATATTTTACTTAACCTTTTTATATATCATTACATGATATTTTAACGCCTTAATCGCGTTTCAATTAAAAAGTAAAAAAGAAAAAGAAACTCTTTTTTATTAGTATTAAAAATATTTCAACTTTTTTGTTTGATCTGCGATATCTTTGTTTGTTCTGTTCCTGTTCTCTATAGACAGAGAGAGAGAGAGAGAGAGAGAGAGAGAGATCAGCTTAAAAGATCTTAAAAAAGGTTAAAAAGGTCAGAACAAAAAGTCCGGTTCCGGAGAAAGTAAAAGAAAAAGCTTTCAGCTTGTACTTTGGAGTTGAGATTCAGATATGGTGGTCGTTTCAGTACCTCATTTCTGATCAGAGATCGAAGTTCTTTTCCATCTCTTTTCTGTTCAAATTAAACCAAACCCAGTTTCAAAAACCTGCAAATATTTTCATGTAGTGCTTTTTTTAGAGTAAAAAAGTGGGTTTTTTTTTTTTTAATTTGAAAGCTGTTTTCTGTCTCATTTGCCCCTTTTTTTATACTGTTTAATCGTCAGGCGAGAGAGAGAAAAAGCAAGACAGACAAGGCAGAGAGAAAAGGAAAGGAAGCGTTGCATTAAAAGGGTGTTTTTTTTTTGGGAAGCCGGGAAAGGGTGATAAGAGAAGTTTTTTTCCTTTTTGGTTTGGTTTTTAACAAAAAGAGATAAGAGATTTTTAATTAATGTCCAAAAATTAAATGAACTGTTTTCACTTTTTCAGTTGTTTCATTTAAACTTCTTTCTTTCATGTCTCAGACTTAAATTTATAACCAATTCTTGGGTTGTCCACAGCATTAACTCAGAAGTTCTAGATTTCAAAATCTTCACGAGTTTTGTTTTTTTATCCCAAAAAATCAAAATCCCAACTTGAAAGGCTGATCAAAAGAGAGCCCAAAGAAATGAAGGAGCCAGTAAAGAGCTTGGATCCACAGCTATGGCATGCTTGTGCTGGATCCATCGTTCAAATCCCACCAGTGAACTCCAAAGTCTTCTACTTTCCTCAAGGCCATGCTGAGCACTCTCTCTCTTCCGTGGATTTCTCATCTTCTCCTCAAATTCCGGCTCTTGTTCTTTGCCGAGTATCTTCTGTCAAATTCTTGGCTGATATTGAAACTGACGAAGTATATGCCAAGATTATGCTTATGCCACTGCCAAACAGCGGGCGTGATATTGAAGATGATGTCGTTATAGGTGGTGGCTCTAATGGGTCTGATAATGTGGAAAAGCCTGCTTCTTTTGCTAAGACATTGACTCAATCTGATGCAAACAATGGGGGTGGTTTTTCTGTTCCAAGATACTGTGCTGAAACCATTTTTCCAAGATTGGATTACTCTGCGGATCCTCCTGTTCAAACTGTTATTGCCAAGGATGTTCATGGTGAGATTTGGAAATTTAGGCATATTTATAGGGGGACTCCTAGGAGACATCTTTTGACGACTGGCTGGAGTACTTTTGTGAACCAGAAAAAACTTGTTGCTGGGGACTCAATCGTGTTCTTGAGAGCCGAAAACGGTGATCTTTGTGTTGGGATTAGGCGAGCAAAGCGTGGGATTGGAAATGAACTCGAGTCTGGTGCTCAAGGTTGGAATTCTGGTCATGTAAATGGAAATTGTGTTACTCCTTATGGAGGATTTTCAGCTTTCCTGAGGGAGGATGAGAGTAAGATAATGAGAAATGGGAATTTAAGAGGAAAGGGAAAAGTGAGGCCAGAGTCTGTTTTGGGGGCTGTGGCGCTTGCTGCTGGTGGCCAGCCTTTTGAGATTATTTATTATCCTAGAGCAAGCACACCGGAGTTTTGTGTTAAGGCATCTGCAGTAAGGGCAGCAATGAGGATTCCTTGGTGTTCTGGGATGAGGTTCAAGATGGCTTTTGAGACTGAGGATTCTTCTAGGATTAGCTGGTTCATGGGAACTGTGTCTTCTGTTCAAGCTGCAGATCCCATCGGATGGCGTAATTCGCCTTGGCGGCTTCTCCAGGTCCTATATTTCTCCCTGATTCTTATGGATTTGTCTAAAATTCTTGGTTTATTTCTTTGCTGAATTAGCACCTGTTAAACAATGTTTGTTTGGTGTTTTTGATTCTCGTACACTTAACCCTGGTTATCTTTTAGTATAAATTGGGTTTTTCGGATGGATTAGGTGAATTAATGAGCTTTCAGCCTCTTCTTTGCTCCACTATAATGATTCTCGGTGTACCATGTTTTCAACACTTACTAGTCTCATCAAGTCTGGAACTGCTTTGTTATATCAATTCTCTTGTTCAATTTTTCTTTAACTGACTTTGTTTATCTCTTGCACTAATTCTGATGGATACAACTACTTTTTCGCCTGCGATCAATTATGCTACCACAAATACTCTGTTTCTGGTATTGTATTTACTGAATTTTGGCCCAGAAGGCCAACTCAAATCATTACTCTATTAGGTAAGTGTCTGTCTGGCATGACCATTGCGGAATTCACTTGCTAACATGATTGTAGGTGGTGCATGAAATTATTACCAGGGAACAAGCAATTGTTATCTTTTTCTCTCCTTTTAAGTGATATTCCTGAATATTCTTAGCAGTTTGGTTATATCTGGTACATTTGCTGATTTAATCTGTAGGACAATTGTAATCTGTATTCTGACTAAAGAAATCAAGTTGCATCAAATTGTTTCTGTATTTCTCATTTCGTTGTCCTTGTTGCTAATAAATGGCTTGATTTGGGGACTGAATTATATTCAGGGCCTTTACTCTTTCTGACAGAAGTTGTTCAGTTTGTCCGGTGGTTATAAAGTGAATTGCACATGAAAACCGAAATGTGACGCAACTTATTTAATTTTTTCTGTACAAATATGTTCTTGGTCATTTAAGCTTTTAGATCTTTAGAATTACATAACCGTATAATATGCGGGTAGAAAGAAAATTGTTCCGGGGCTTTAGCTCTACATATGTATGGGCTAATCACGATACCTCTTTAATCTTTAGATTATTAGTTTTGATTCATAGAGAAATTTTTTTCATTAGATTCATTGTTGGTTCCATGAAAGACAAATGGACTTGCAGACTCAGCCTAAAAAGTGGATGTCTAAGCTTTCTTGGTCTATAAAGGCATTAAGATAGTTAACTTGTTACCGCTTATCCAATGCTTTGATAATTAATTAAGAGATGCAAGTGTCACATTGTCGGTTCTCTTTTTAGCAGCCCGCCCTTACTTTGTAGTCGCTGTTGCAGGTGACATGGGATGAGCCAGATTTGCTGCAAAATGTTAAACGTGTGAGTCCCTGGTTGGTTGAATTGGTATCAAACATGTCTGCCATCCACCTGCCACCCTTCTCACCACCTAGAAAGAAGTTAAGGCTTCCCCAACACCTTGACTTTCCCGTTGACAGACAATTTCCGATGCCATCATTTTCAGGCAATCCCCTTGGGCCCAGCAGCCCCTTACGTTGTTTATCTGATAATGCTCCTGCAGGCATACAGGGAGCCAGGCATGCTCAATTTGGATTATCTTTATCAGATCTCCATCTTAACAATAAACTGCAGTCAGGACTGTTTCGGTCCAGTTTCCAGCAGTTTGATCCACATGCTAGAATAGCTGATGGCATCATGATGGCAAGGCGCATAAACAGTAATGATAATTTATCTTGCTTGTTAACAATGGGGAATTCTAGTCAGAAGGAGAAATCTGATAACGCAAAAAGACACCAGTTTTTACTCTTTGGTCAGCCGATACTTACCGAGCAGCAGCTCTCTTCTAGCTGTTCAAGTGAAACTGTCTCACAAGTTATTAACAGAAAGCGATCATTAGATGGTAATGCAGACAAAACAAAAGATACTTCTGATGGTTCAGGATATGCTCTTGAGAATCATTTTTCTCCAGAGAAGTCATCCACTGCTGGATTTTTGTGGCACCAGGACTATCGAACCACAGAACCTGGCCTGGATACTGGTCATTGCAAGGTATTCTTGGAGTCAGAGGATGTGGGAAGAACTCTTGACCTGTCAGTTCTTGGTTCTTATGAAGAGTTATATAGGAGGTTGGCTGACATGTTTGGAATAGAAAGATCAAAGATCTTGGGCCATGTGCTGTATCGAGATGCAACAGGTGCTGTCAAACAAACTGGAGATGAACCATTCAGGTATCAATTTGAAAGACCCCATTTATCTTTTTCCATCCTTTGATCTTGCAGATACATCAATAATGAATTTTAAAACATCTAAATTTCCGACTTTTAAGCTTCTTTGGAGTTATATTTACACAATCTTTCCTTCTCCCCTTGGGTATGTAGTACTTTTATGAAGACAGCCAAAAGATTGACAATAAGGATAGATTCAGGCAATGATACTGTTGAAAGGTGAGTCAAACTTTCTTCATTATCCATTTTTTCCACTAATGAGTTCCAAACTAATACCATCATGCAACGCAACGTTCTAAACTTGTTGGATTGCAAACAACTTGTTCGTGCTAAACTCGATAGCCTGTTTTCCAGGTCATGGCTCACGGGAATGCGAACAGCAGAAAATGGACTAGAAGGGCCAAACAAGACAGGTCCCTTGAGCATATTTGCATGATTCAGAGCACAATGTCAATAAGCATGCATGGATATTTCAAGAATTTATAGAACAGTAGACTTTTTAGCTCCTCATAGGGGATGTGGATGTCTGTATAGTTTTCTTGTCCAAGTGTTTGTGTTCAAAAAACATTGATGTCGTATAATTTACTGAATGTTTATCGTCAGTTTTATGTTGATATTGACCGCGACTCCATCCATGCAAAGCTCAATTGTAAGGAATTCTGTTAGTTCCTGTTTCCACATATGCTTCAAAATGCAATTGAAACTTCTCTCTATGACTTTTTTGAAAGTCTGGGTTATTATTTTAATTTCTTGTTACTTATAGTAACTGTGAATTGTCTTTAAAAAAAAAAATCAAATTATATGCATGTTCTGTGTTCTGACCATTATGACGCATGAAGGAAAACTTTGGGATCTTCATGAAAGAAAAAAAAAATGGGAGAGATTGGGATCATGAACACAGAAAAACATGAAAGACTTGACTGTTCCAACAGTTTGACGGCCAAGCTGGATGTGGTCTGGTTCAGGGTTTGTACAAAAAAATCACTGAATTTTGTGAACACTAGACAAAATATATTATATATTTAAACTCCCGTAACCAAAACTTACGAAAAAAAAAATGGATTTCATTGTTTGATGGGGTCCAATTCCTAATTCAATTAAATAAAAACAGGCACACGTGAGGCTGGGACAGCAAAGAGCTTGGAAATTGGAAGTGATCAAACAAATCAACGGTCCCACGTGTGGCCCCTTCTTCGTCGCCGTTTCGATGGCCGAGCTAGCCTTTTTGCCATCACCTCTATTTCAGCTGTTTGACCCTACTCCTCTCCTCCCCGCCCCTTTTCCTTAGCTTTTTATCGTATTTATGTGAGAAAAAAATTTTAATATTTTTTTTTATAATGATTTTAACAAATCATCATTTCAAACATCCATTTAAGATTTAAGACATCACCAACAAATATTGTTCTAAAAAACATTATATTAAGAATAAAATAATGAATGAAAATTTTGTTTGATTAAAGTTCCAATAATAAAATGAATTTCAATGGAAAATGAAAAAAAAAAAAAAAACCAAACTCGATGATGCTGGGGATTAAAGGCAAAATTGAGCATAGAGCACTGAATCCAACAAGGTGCTGTTAATGGTGTCTTAAATGTTCCAAGTCTGAGTTTGAGCTTTCATCCACTTTGATCAATTAATAACATTTTCCTTTCACGAAAACAATTAATAATTAAATAAACACAACAATCTCAAGATCCAAGAATACAACTAAAATGAAAATTTTCAGCTTTTACAAACAATCTTTCAAACCCAACTTAAGTATCGTTTGTTGTTGCGTTTGATTTCAAAAAGTAATTTTTAAATGTAAAAATAATATTAATCTTGTTATAATTTGAGCTAAAAATATTTTGATTAAAAATGATTCAATCTTAAGAGTTATTTGAAAAGTATAATTGTAATTTTAAATTTATGATTTGATAATAAAACGATCAAATATTTATTTAATTACTTATTTTTAATAATAATAATTTTTTTTAACATCACGTCTTCTTTAGATATTTTAAATTTTCACAATAATATTAAACATTCAAAAATTTTAAATCATAATTTTTTATAATAATTTTTTTACAACACTTTTCAAACACATTTTTTTAAAATTAAAATTTTTTAAACCGCAATAGCATGCTAAATTAAGCCTTAATCATAACATTTTTTCTTGATAATGAAACAATAGTAATGTAGTATAATAATAAAAATATGAACATTTTTCTGGCCAAGAAAATATACGAACAATTTAAAGAATATCAATTATCAATTTTAATATTTTTCTTAATTAGTTAATGACTACGAAGGGCAGCTAACTACTCAAAAAAATAATAATAATGAAATTAATTTTGATTAAAAAATCGTTTTTTATTTTAAGCATAAACTTTAATTTTCAAATTCTAATTTCAATTTCATCATATATCAATTTGATCTAATGTTATATTAAATTTATTTGTTTAATCTAATTCATTATATTTATGTAATATTTGTTTTGATACTATAATTTTCTTTTACTTGTAATCTCAGCATTAATTATTATCTTATAAATTATCAATAAAATTTTTAATTATATTAAAATATCATTGAAGTTTTTATTTATTAAAAGTTTAAAATATGTTGTAATAAAAAATTTATTAATTTGCATTGGTGTATGAAATAAAAATTGTTCTATATTTTAATGGAAGGGAAAGGGAAAAAGCGTTTGCTTAAGCATGTAAACGACAGAGATATGATGACGTGGCGTGAAGGCACCGTTCGTGCGGTGGACCCAAGATAGAATTTCTTTTTATTATTGTCTTTCCGTTCAAAGGTGAAAGATCAAAGACTTTAGGTTTGGTTTGGTAATTTCAACATGTTGTACGGTTGCGATAAAGTTCACCTGTGCTGATGTACGATCAAGATTTCATCCGTTTTTACCGCCGTCGCTGTAGATTTGAAGGACGATATCATAAAACAATCTCATCTCATCGTGATATTTTGAATTATCGTGATATTTTGAACTTTCTAGCTACCAATTTCTTTTTTTTTTTTTTTTGGAATACTTTCTTCTTTGTTAACCATAATATATAGTATTACTGGTATTTTTTTGATAGGTTGGTAAGCATTAGTATAATTTTTAATAACCATAAATCAATCCAAAGATGAAAATTATTAATTAAACTAAATATGTAGAATATATTAAAGATGACCAGCGCCAATTATTTGGCCTAATATTTTCCTAAGCTATAGGTCCTAAATAAGATAAAATTCACAGAATCTACAAATTATGAATAATTTAGATAACACCTTGTTTATCGTTTCTTTTGATTAAATTTTATCAACGAGTGAAAAAGAAAGACATTATCACGTTCGGATTCAATGATGTAATTATATTTATAAGAGTCACAAGATAAATAGTTGTAACGATAGATTAATTTTAATTTAATTTATAATTTTTTTTATTTTATAATTATTTATTTGAATCTCCAAACATATTTTTAAGTATGAACTGTGATATCTTTGACTTTTTGTTTCTTTACGAGTGTCAAGAACCTTCTTCCCAAAGCTACTTGTGGATCAAAACACATTCAACACCAGGAAAATCGATATCATACTTTTGTTCTATTATTGCTAGCTATTTTTTCTTTGGATTCGATTGCTAAGTTGAAAAACAAAGGGTGTTTGAATAATTTGTACTTCTTCTTTTTTTTTTTAAGTAGAATATTTGTAATTCTAAATGTGTTTAAAATGTACGATTTGGAAGTGTTTATACATGAAACAAAAGTTATTTACATTATAAATAATTGTGGAAGTCAAGGAACTCATTGAGAGCTAGTATCAAGGCTGATATAAAGATAATAAACAATGTATTATACAAAACCATAAAAATATTATTAATAAATTATTTACATTAAAAATAAAATTTCACATTGAAATTTATATTATATGTTTGCAAAACATAACATTGGGTCTTTGGTTGGTTTAGCAGTTTAGGAAACATATAATACTATTAATGTTGGGAAATAATTAAAGAAAAAGTATAATTAATATGAAGATAAGGTAGAATAGTACATCACATGGTTGTGTTGCAAAAGGTTAATTACGTATTGTGTTGGGTCATATTGTCCAAATAATTATGGCTGGAGATCATGACATGTTTGTCCACTTTCAAAAATTTTACTTATTCAAATATATATATGTTTGAATTAGTATTTGATATTCTGTTGTTATAAATTTTTAATTATACAAATAGAATTAATAAAATGATACTTATATTTTATGATATATTTAAAAAATAAAACATGTATCATCCTAATAATCTTTACTTGTGTAATTAAAAATTTATACTAATAATATATCAAATATTAACTATATATAAATATATGAAGATAAATCAACTTATACAATATAAAATTAAAAAAATTTAGATATTTTTCTAACTCTTGATTTTAATTAATATATATATATACACACACACACACATGCTAACAAGTGAGAATTTTTGCAAGATCTCTTCCATTTTGTCTTACATAGAAATTTTCATGAAGAAATTACTATGTAATTCAAAAAATTAAAACAAGTTGAAGATGGAATCTAGAAACCCCAAATATGGCTTTAGATTAAAAAATGAAAGAGTATATATAGTTGTAAAAATCATTATCTTGAGGAATATCATTAATTTTGTAGTGGAGTGACTAATTAAAAGATAAAAAACAACACCATAATCTTTTGAAAGGACACCTTAAACACAATTGGGCCATCAAATCAACTTGAAAAAGGAAAATTGAAAGAGTGAAAGACGTCATCGTCCTCAACGAAAACACTAGGCCAAGGTAGCATGACTAATGAGAAAGGAAGTGAGAGAGAAGGGTTTTAAACTATTCAAGAAACAGGGAAAACTCTACAGAAAATTATAAATTTGATTCACTTTATGGTCATGGGGATAGTCAAAATAAATGACGATGATGATGATGAGCAAGAAAAAGTTAATGGGGCTTTTCACAATCAACCAAGAAAATTGTTCAAACATGCAATAAAGCATTGAGTAACGCACCGCACAGGGCCGAGTACCTTTAACCTTACACAGAATTTAGACGATTTCGGGAATTGGCCGGTGTTGGATGATGATATAGACAAGGTTAAACTGAAGAGAATAAGTAAAAATATTGTCAAATAACTGATGAAGTAACTTTTGCAACCCACTGGAATTGAGTTATGAAGTAGATTTTGAGGCTTCAAATCTTGAGAAGCATTATTGTAAGACAAAAAGATCAGTTGACCAACTCAAGACTTTCCAAAACTGTGTTTTGAAAATATAAGAAAAAGTAAAAGCAGGAATGAGAGAAATGCCATCAAAGAAGGAGAAAGAGGTAGAACGATGAGAAAGAACTTAGCAAACAACAAGAAAGCACTGTCCTGATGCCTGTTAACAGGGGATGGATGAATTGACAAATACGAATAAGCCTCTTAAAATGCCACTTTTATAGAGGGACAACCTTTGCATGCCTATAGAAAACTCTGTTACCAGTACTGCAAAAGAAGAAGCTCTATGTAAGTCAATTGTTTGTAATCCAACCTAAAAATTGGTCACAGCTAAACATATCTGCTCAACAAATGGTAAATGATGGCAGTTTGGGGCAGTCAGTTGGAACATAGAACCTACATTCTTAACGTCAGAATGTATGATATTAACAGAAAAAACTCACGGTTTGAGAGCCAGAGGGGGGTTGTTCTTCAAGGTTGAACAACCCATATAACTACATCTTCATGGAACCAATTGTATGTTTTTAATAAGTGACAATAAATTGGCTAGCTTGGATTATTTGATGGATCTGCACTAACTTAAGCATGAGAGCTTATACAGAAGATAATATAAAGTACACAACAAATACCGCTTATTCCATATAGCAGAAAATAAAGTTATACATATGCTTACTTCAGCAACTTTAACACCTTATGTCTTTTGGTACTTAGCAAGTTAACACTATTTGGATAGCTAAGAGTTTAAGTACGGGTTTAGGGCATGCCTATCATCTCTCCCAATAGTTGAAAGAGATCTTCACTCCCAATTGCATCCTCTTCATTTTATATGGACCTCGAACATGCAAAAGGAAAATCCAAATCTCAGAATCTATTTTGAAGAAACTGCTAAATGTTACTACTGAATTGCAAATGGTTCATAACGTACAAGCTAAATAAATTATTGATCATCTCATATGATCTGAAGCTAAAATTTACACATGATCAAACTGGTAAGTACATCAAACATATGCAAACAGGGATTAAAATCCACACATAATCGAGAATGAATTCAGGAAAAACTGAAAAATGCAGCATCTTAAGGCTTCATAAAATTTAGATAAAATAGCTGCATGCTGCAGCTATTTTGAACAAACTGTTAAATGTTACTACTGAATTGCAAATGCTTCACAACATACAACCTAAATAAATTAATGATCATCTCATATGATCTGAAGTATGATAAAAAATCAATATGATCAAACTGATAAGTACACCAACTATATGCATGCACACCAAATAGGGATTAAAATCTATCTACGCATAATCGAGAATGAATTCAGGTAAAACCGAAAAATGCAGCATCTTAACTTAAGCTTAATAAAATTTAGATAAAATAGCTGCATGCTGCAGCTATAAAGAACAGTTTCTCCCTTCCCTATAAAATGATCACAGCTCTCCAGAGAGGAATCCAATTTTGAAATAACATTTCAAACCTCAGATTTACAATGTTCAGTAAACAAACAAAGACCAAGTAGAGTTTTGGTCCATAGGGAGTGCTTGGTAGAGTGTTAAAGTGGAAGGATAGATAGAGGAGAGTGAAAAAATGAAAAGACAATGAATTTTGAGTGTGTTTAGTAAGACAGAAAGGTGAGAGGAAAGAAAATAAGAAAGATGATTATTTTTCACCCTTATTCACAAAAGCAAATCTTTCCAAATTGAAGAGATAGGAAGTGAGGGAATGAGAAAGATCAGTCAAATGTGTATATTTACAAAATTATCCATCATTTTTAAAATTTTAACTTTTTATCTTAACTTTCGAAAGATATAATAGTTAAATAATACAATTTTTATTACCCTTCTCATTTTCAACCATACCAAGCAACGGATAAAAAATTACTTTTTCTTTCCACTTTTCCTTGTCATTTCTCTATCTATCCTATCAAGCAAAGCCTAAGTTTTGAACAAGGAGAAGGAGAAAGAGGGAGATTTTTTTCCTTACCTTCTTTTAAGGGATCCTAGTAATTTAAGGATATGTTTGGCACACAAGATTATGATAGGATAAGATAAGATTATATTATGAATAGGATTAAATTAAATAATGTCATCCTATCTTGTATTTGATGTATGCAAGAATTAAAATATGATAATTTATTTATTTGTCAAAATTATCATTCCTCAAGTTTATATAATTTATATTATTAACGTAATTTTTAAGGGTAATAGAAAATACAAAATTAATCCTATGAATTAAAAATAATCCTTTCCACTTTGGGGGGGTTGAATGATATTATACCAAGAGGATGATTAATCTTCCTTGTAATCCTATCCCTTTCTTTAGATACAAACCAAACATAATATCAGATGATTATCATCTTATCCTAACCATCATCCTATTCATCAAACATTACCTACTTCCCAATACCCCAAAAAAGGAGACCTAGAGGTTGTCGTCTAATCCACTTTATAACTATGCAACTAAAGCACTCCACAAGATAAGCAAAAACAATGATTTTGCAACCTACAACTACAAGCACATTCCCTTGAAAAATGCAAGCCAATAGAGTGTCATCTGTTCCTACTTAATACTTCACTTGCTAAATTATTAAACTTATCAACAAGATAAAGGATGAGCCACCTCTACCCTGCACTTTCCAAACTTATCATATCCTGTTTTCTCATCTCCCTCAAACTCCACAACATAGAGTTAGCCACACAGAAAAATATGAAATAATTGCAATTTATCCTACTAAGCCACCCTAAAATTTAGCTGAACAAGTTTGCCCCAGCGATCAACATAAGGTTAAGCAATGAATAATACATGCAAAATAGTCAATGCAACAAATAACAAAAATGTCAATAAGAATTGCTCTCTTAATAGGTGCTGGATCAGTACTTTAGGAGCAATAGCCTCTAAATTTAGAGATTTAAACGTCAAAAATTCTAGTTTATTAAGTTTCTATTTGATACATTATTAGAATGTAGTTCAAAACCCTCCACAAAATCTAGTTTCTTGAAGGCTAAGTAACCCCGTCTAATCCCCCAACCTAAAAGGCAGAAACCATCAATGTCTGGTCCTAGCTTTACAAATGAACATCGATAATTGAAGAGAATGTAATAAGATATTGGAGTAATTGAATAATAACAGTTACTATAATTAGAAAAAGTACCGGAGTTAAAGGGATAGGGAGGGAGGGAAGGGGGATTAGTTGTAGTAGAGCTCAAGGCCCATGCCATTATGAATCTCGTAGTCTTTGATGGTGATGTGTACCACTTCTGGATACGAATCTTGTCGGCCCTGGTTCCGGTCTGGGCCGCAACCAGCTTCTTAAGGTCGCCGATGGTGTCATCCTCGTTGCACTTCACCCGCACCTTCTTCCCCAGCCTGTCGTTCAGCACCACCTCTATCATCTTCTTCTTCTTCCTCTTAAAAAGAAAATTTGTAAAGGTTGTGCAGTAGGGCTGCAAATGCGATCGATTTGTTTAGCTTATAGTCACAGTCATGCCAATGTTGTTGTTGACGCCTTCTCAGTTCTCTGTTTTATGTAGATGATGTGGACGTGGGATTCTGCAAATTTCGTTGGGGGGTATTTTAGTACTTTTGATCCTCGCAAAGATTTGCATGACCATTCCACGCTGTACACGTGTTTTACATCCACGTACTTTTATATATTCTAGCATTTCTTCTTTTATATTATTTTCTTTTTTTCCTTGATTAACTTCTAAATCTAAATGCTATCCAAATTCTAACCCAGTGCCAAAGAAGATCAGAGTTTCAACACAACGCAGCAGCTACTCCAAACAAAACAATGGCTGCATCACAATTACCTTATCATCGTGGCCCGAACCAAGTATTGCCCGAAAAAGGGGCGTGCGGGTAATGCAAATATCATGAAATCAGAAAACCAAAAATGGTGTTTGAGAAGTGCGGCTGGGGATCGGGAGAAGAGTGAAGAAAAAATAAAAATTTGGAGTATACCAGCCATTACAATTAAGATTAAAATATGATTGATAGGGGAAACCCTTACCTTGTGAATCAGAGTAACAGGAACAAAAACCTTGAATAATAGAACAACAATACCAGTAACAGTAACTACTAATGAACAGTTATAACCATTGGCACAGCCTACCGTACAACCGCATTTGGAAACAAAATTATACTGTACATATGAATTTTGATGCTTCAACCCTCAGCCAATCAAAACTGTGATGGTCCCTCTCAGATCCAAGCCACTTCCATGTTTGGCCAGCATTAATTACTCCAAAACAGTAACCTCGTGATCAACCCTCCAATAGTTTGTATCATTGAACTCCTTCATCCCAGCTCCACCATCATCAGAATTCTCCTTTTCTGGTGCCTTCGGAACAATGTTCCTCTTCAATGGCCCTGCTTCCCCGACTATTCCTTCTTTCAAAGCTTGTTCCATTGCCCTCTCTGTACCTTCTAATTCCACACCTACAAATTCAACATCCTCTTCAAACAAAGAGGGCACTGGTGGTGGAGATTTTTTATTTGTATCGCTGCTCACCGAACCATCACTCAAATCCATGGAGTCTGACGAACCATTTGGAAGTACGAATTCCCCATTTGAGGGGGCCCCAACATCAGTGACCACTGTCTCGGTATGACCGGGTAGGTTGACGTCTGAGCTGTCATCATCTAGAAATGGATTCTTGCTTGAACCACCTACTTGCAAATCCGAAGGTTGTCCCCATCCCACCCACTCAGGTAAAGACCTATCTCCAAACAAATCCTCGTTTTCTGGTGTGTCAAACCTGAAAAATCCCATATCTTGAGAAGCATTTGCTTTCTCCCCTTGTGGATTCAAGTCTCCAATCATGGAACTGTTAAACCCATTCATCACGTTGGAAGTAGATGTGCAACTACCAAACTGTTTGTTAAATCCATTCGCTGACTGCTTGTTTTCATTCAACTCGTCCTCCTCTCCAACTACCACCTCATCATCACTACTACTGTTACCGCTATTTGCAGTGCCATTCAAATTAATCTCGTCCAAAACCTCTGTGGGGGATGTGGCAAAAGGTTCATTACCGATTCTGTCATCTTGGAATGCAAACCAGTTGGAATTTGTGAACAGACTGCTGCATTAGAAAAACATGGGTAATATAAACTGTATGTTTTGTAATATTGCTACTTTAACAGAAGAATATAAACTGTATGTTTGTAAAAGCTAAGGCAATAGGAGGTTCTTGAACAACATTAACCCAACTGGATTCTCCATCATAAACCTCAACAACCAATAACTCCATTACGACAAGTAATGAAAAGAAAACTCACCTTCCTTGGTCATCACCGAGCCTCAAAGATGATATGACGACCTCAGCAGATTCATCATCAAAGTATACATCCTGCAAATTGAAAACATAAATTTACTATCAACTTTGATGTTAAAAAATGAAAAAAAAAATTCCTATCTGTTTGGTTTCTCCATCACTCATGCTGATCATAACACATAGCCCTAGATGATATTATCATTGATGTCTTTAACAGGCAAATAGAGAAACCATAGGAAAAACAACCTATTGGCCTTATAATCAACCGCAGAGAAACAATTTCAATTAATTAAAACAAATCAGAGTCACTCACCTCATCATCTCGATCAAGAGCACCATGCTCCTAAAAGCAGATAAATAAAAACTCTTAAGTATAGAAAACATGTAAATAAAGAGATTGTTAGAGAAGCCAAACTACATACTTCTTCATTGTCATCATTCCCATATATTTTGTATCTGAAAGCCTGGCTTAGGTTATTCGCTAAAGCTGCAACATCATAATCTCTATCATGAATATCATCCTCATCGCTATCCCTTGTTCTGTCTTGCAACACTGTTGGGCGGCTGCACATGAGAAGAGAAGATACATGAGATTCTTTAAATGATTTTTCTGTTAGCTCTCACAACTATGTGGTTGCTGCAAACAGCAATAATGTGATATAACAAGACATGGATTCAAAAATGGAATTCTATAAGAAACTTTATATTTGTAGGCATTATATAACATATGAAAGCCATAAATAAAATAAAAGCAAGAACTATAAGTCGCATTTTATATGTCATTCATAAGTTACAAATCTGCCACAAGACCAGAATCCTTGAGTGCATGTATTCTTACAAATGCCATAACAAGCGCATACAGAACTAGAGATAATTAAACTTGAATCACATATTCTACTAATCTGGCTGCAATGCATATCAGAAGCATAGCAAGAGCATACCCACAAGCCCATCGATAAACATTTTCAACTGTATTACGTTCTTGCAGAACATTAGCTTGCCATTCATTCCATTCGCTATTTTCCTATTAAGAATATATGAACTTGTGTCAGCAAATTCACAAAAAAATAAGTCATATAAAGAATCCCAATAACAAAATTGCCTAATCCAATATACAGATCCAACCAGCCAATGAAAGATACCACCTATGTGCCAAATAACCCAACAACTAACTGCAATGAACTTAATTTACCATACTACATAAAAGGATTCATACCCTAACTTTAATTATAACAAAAGTTGTTAGCTTCAGATAAAAAATGCTCCTACAGACAGTAAGATCCTAAGCACTCATACAACATTAACAAGCAGCAAATTTCGCACCTTTAGACATGCCAGAATGCGACTGTTGCTGCTTCCCAACTGTACAAGTTTATTTGAAATACGTGTAATGTGTCCAATGTTTCCAGCCCTCGGTGCACGTTTTCCCGCAGCAGGTAAAGTTGGCTGTTCAACCAAAAAAAGGGGTTAAGCTGACTGCATAATGGGGTAGCATTTGTAGCAGCTTCTAATTATATTAATCATAATGGTCATTAGCAAAATGGGCAAGTAGCAAAATGATTTAACATCTACCTGATTTCTGTCACCAGAAAGAATTGGATGTTTGTCAGTTTGGAGAAATTTCCTGATCAAATCACATTCTTGAAGAAGATAATCAAGTATTTCATCATTTTTGCTTTCCAGACAAGATAATATTATACTCTCCGCATGATGATGTAATGCATTGTTGTATGGATACCTACATAATTTAAATTAAAGAGACAATGAATCTTAGCCTGCTAACAGAAATGATCCAACACCTTCCACAAGAAGACATCAAGCACTTTCTTCTAGATTCAAACTTCCAATAAGTTTTTTCACTTTATTCAATATGACAGTTTTAAGCAAGAGCTTACTCAAAGAAAAGATCAAGAACTCGTTGAATGGTTCCTGAGCTAACCAATTCCTTCTCCGCAGCTTCATTTCCAGTTCTCAACAGCACGGCAATGAACTCCACAATCTGAAATAAACACCAAAACAATCAGAAACAACACAATAAACTTTGACACAAGCCCAAACAGTCTGACATACATTGTGCACAAACACCAAAAAAATCAAACAGGCATCAAGTTGAGTATTCCATGTTGATTAGCGCATAAAACCAATGATGAGAATATAAATGAACCTTTAGTCGATGCTTCCCAAGAGGAGGCCTCAATTCTCCATACGTGGTAGGCAAAATTTTCTCATCAGATGACACATGCAAAAGCATGAGCAACTCACCTGCACAAAAGCATGCAGTTTGAAGGCAAGGCTAAAATGAAAGCCAGTATGTTACATGCACCTAGGAATATGTCAAATCGATTAATAAAGCTTCCAGCAAAAGAAATCCACTCACCAAGCTTAGGCAGCATTGCGTTGATAGTCTCTGAATTTACAGGGATTGAGGGCTCATACATATGTTGATTTCGGAAAGAATGCATCAAGGGAGAAGTAATTGCTGATCTTTTTGGATCCAACAATGAGATACAAACTGAGAGTGAGTTTACAAGGCCAGATTTTGAATGTGAATCCTCCAATGCATGACCAAAAATCCTTGCAACAAAGCTGTACATGAACATATTCAAAATTACAGGTCAAATCACAAACATATATGCAATAGAGAATCGAGATGGTGATGCAGGCAGGGAGGAGACAGGACGGAACTAGATCTCACTAACCTTGGACTAGAGAGTTTAGTGGCTAAAGCTGATGGGGCATTCCGAGTTATTGCACATAATGTTTCTGCTGCATTAGCATGAACTTCAGGTGGACACTGGTCATTGTAAAAAACAGGCTGTGAGATGCTCATTACAAAGTATTCTATACCATGAAAATATTAAAACAATATTACATCATGAAAATGATAAAACAGATAATTTTCACTTACTGATGGACTCAATTTATCCACAATCATTTCCAGCAAATTGCTATCAGCTAGCCATTGCATTACATCCAAAAAATTTGGATATACATGATCATCAGCGCCTACTAACCGAACCAAAACCTGTGGCAAGATGCATCTCACATCAACATTCATCCCAAACATATTAAATTCCAAGCCATATAAAATCCACTATTGCAAAAAACAACACAGAAAATCTCAGGTACCTCCATGATGGATGTGATTCCTATCAAATCAACCAGTTGGCGGAACACATCTTGATGTACCTGTTAATAATCTGTCTTAGAAATTCATATAAATAAATAAATAAAAACATGCTATCCCTTATAGTTCAGAGATCATAAACCACAGACAAGCCCAATTTTGTCGTGGGAGTCACTAGACTTGTAGCGTTGTCACATGTACCAAACCCAGATAACCAACTCACGAGATGAAAACAGTTTATAATGCGCAGAATTGTTTACACCACTAATGCAGTATGTTTAACTAAGCTTACAGGTGAAAATTTTTATAGGTACATCATGACCATGTCAAATAAACCAGTGCAAAGTTAAACTGAGGAACAAGGTAAAGTTCAAATTGTCTTTACACATTCATATACCAAGTCTCAATTACACTAGTTATCCAGAGTTGCAGATTATTTAATACATCATCCAACAACATAAAAGAAATGTATCAACAGATTTAAAAGAAGACAAAGAATGTGATGGTAAACACAAAAGCTTTACTTACTTGTACATAATTCATAAGTGGGACAGTCTTCCGTAGCATAAGGCACACAACAACCTAAAATACCAAAGAAAATGAAACTTAACAAGTGATAATAATAACAAAAGCAGTAGTCAAAGAAAACACGGTGTGTAAGAGCACAAAAACTGATCCAAACATGAACAAGCGGACCTTACTGAAATAACCGGCTAACAGGGCACTATGAGGACGGTTTGGTTCCAAGAAGGAGAAAAGTAAGTTCATCAACTGCAACACAGAGAAAAGCACATGAAACAAAATCATAGCAATTTCCATAACTAAAGATGCATAAGCAAGAACGAAAATGAAACCAATACCTCTTCCTCCTCAACTAAAGACTTCAGAATAACATCAATCTCACATGTAAATATCTCACAGGCAATGAATGGGAACCTAGACATAAATGAACAGATCATTAAGAAAAAGAATAATTAACATAAGAAAAGTTACAGGACAAGAAAACAGAATGAAGTCTAGTTCCTGATTCCTGATTTAATTAAAATGACATACTTGAAGGCCAGTTTGCTGTCAGCATCCTCTGGAGGTTCTTTAACAACATATCGCAATAACTGCTCAACTTGGGCTCTATCTCGTAGACTGCATGTAGAAAATTAAGTACGTGATGAGCATCAAGCAAGACTACTCTATCAGATTATCCAAACACTTCGCAATTTTATTATAGCAAATCAACTTCTAAATTCCAATCAATCAAAACAGACAAGAAACTGATTGAAAACAAAAACATAAAGAAAAATAAGGAAATGCACAATGTGATAGTAGCAAAAATTACAAATTGATAAGTCGACTGTTTAAAGCTTTGCATTCTTGGATTATTTCTTCCTCATCAAGAAGCTCTTCCAAAGTAAAGTTTTCCTTGTCTAATATCGAGTCCACCTACAAAAGAACATCAAAGTCAATGAAACTAACCAGAATCCCGTTCAACACAAACTCAATAAGTCACTCAACAATATGCTTAGAACAATTAGTTGGAATCGGAGAATAAGCATCAATCTAGAACCATATCTAAATAGCTTAACGAATTTTCGCGTTTTAGATTCGATAGAAACTATCACTGAATAAGAAAGTTCAGCTTCAAATAAACGGAACTCCAGCCATGTCCAACTCAAAACGTAGCTTTAAAATCAAAGCGTATTCATCGAATTGAACAATGAAATTTCCCAAGAATGCGGACAAATCTAAGCCACTGAAACTACTTTGCTACGGCATCGTTGAATCCAGGGTAAATTTCAAATTAACTACGTTGAAAGAAAAGCATGAATTCCAAACATACAAGAACAAGAAAAACAATCTAATAAAAAATTAACAAGTTCATTATATCGAATAAAAAAATACTCCCATGAAAAGAAAGAAAATCAAAGTAACAAGCACAGATTAAAGAAATCAAGATTTAAAATTAAAAAAGAAGAGGAGTAATTAATCAACTAAGTAGCATAAAAATTACTCACGGGAGAAGAGGTGGACAGAGCTGTGAGCTTCCAAAACATGGTGAAGAAGAGAAGAGATTAAGCAGAGGAGCTCAATAGATCTGCAAAACCTAAAAACAACCAGTGAATCTAGGAATTGTCGAAAGAAGGGGAAAAAAGCGCGAGATTCAAGAGTTAAGAAAGGAGAAGAAAACACAAAAACCCTAATTTTTTGCTGGTGTTAAAAAATATAAAGAGAAAGAGAGATCGAAAAAACTAAAAGAGAAAAAGACCACGAAGCCTGAAGATCGACAAGATGAGAGAATGAAGAAAAGCGAAGGCAGAGGGCTAAAAATGTTTTGGTGATGGAAAAAGTACAGAATGAAGTACTCCGATTTTCACAAAACCATTTTTTTGTTTATTATTATGTTATGGCCATGGCGATGGTGATGGGCATCACCATCGATTTATGGGATGTATGGATGATCGTTGTTGTATGATGGTGATGTAGAATGGACTTTCATGACCTGACGTAATCCACAAGTTAAAAAAAAAAAAAGACTCTATACTTACAGCTAAAAGCAAAGTTTTTAAGGTCACAACTCACAACTTGTTGAAGCAGTTCTTTCCTTTTTTAGTTTTTCTTTTTTCATAATTTATTGTAAAATATTTTTTAAGAGATTGATCAAAATCTTTAGTCAAAATATTCTTGTTGCAGTCAACATGCTTTGTTGTCTTAAAATATTGAGATAAATCCTCTAATATGATTAAGTTTTGCTACATTCATGGAGATTATTAGTAATTTAAGTGTTGAATATCTTCTATTTCTTTGTTTATATTTTACTTAAAATTTTGAAATTTTTCCATATGTCTAACTAATATTTTCAATGTCTTGTTTGATATTTTTATGTTTATAAGACTTTTCGAATCCAAATTTAAATTTAGCAATAATAAAAAAATAATATATTTAATAATATATTTTATTAAATTAATTATAAAATTTATAAATAATCATTCTTACGATACGAATAAAAATTAAATCAATTGAATTTATTTTTAAAAGTTAAAAATTATTCATTTTAAATATTATTTGTTAATTAATATAATATTGTATTTGTATTTTTGATTGATGCATTATAATATTTTACCTTTATACAAAACAAAAATCCAAATATATCCATATATTCCAATTTTTCGAAAGCTTGATGCACAATAATGACAATGTTTGTGACTAAGCTGAAAGCAAGTTCACTCACAGTGACGAATAGTTCGTGCAAACGCAAACCGTCTCCTTTAAATTTCGTCAAAAGTTTTGCCATCAGAAAAGCTCAAAGGTCAACGCACTGGACACGTGGAAAGTGATCACCCAATGACTTTGCGAATTCTGTCAAAGGCTCGTGACGATAGCGTCGCTCGCTCGGCATGGTTTAGCTCACGGATGGTCATGGTAGGCATGGAATATGGATTCATCATGAAAATTCAATGCATATGACACGTGCGAGTGATTACTTTTCTTTTAGATTCCCAACGTACCCCTGAAATTTCATTAATAAAATATCTCAGCCTTTGTTTGGTTGTCATGCAACATTTTTCGTTTTAATTTTCAACCAAATCTAGGAGGGAATTTGACAATGTTTGCTTCTTAATTATTGCGATATAAATAAGTGTTCATTTTATTAATTATTAATTTTGAAATATTTTTTAATTATCATATTAATTTTAAATATTACTATAATATACAATTATATTGCTGATCATTCCATGAAAAAAAGGTTGAAACCGAAATGAATTTGCCAAAAGTTTTTCAAATAGGAACATGCAAAAAAGTTATTGAACTACTATGAAAAGAGAGGGAAATGATTCAAAATGTGTGAGTAGGAAGCAAAATAAAAGCGTAAGAAATTAGCAAATTAAAGCCAAAGTTGGTCCACATCTTTATGCGAAAAACACACAGGTTGCACGAGAGATGATACCAAATAATTATTTGAAAAGTACCTTTAATTTTTTCGATAATGTTATAAATAACTTTTAAATTTTAATAAAATATTTAATATGATATTTAAATTTTAAAAATTTTTAACATGATACTATAAATATAAATATATTAATTAATATAATATTTAAAAATTATTTATCCATTACATATAATCATTTAGAGCTTATTATATTAGAGATAAGTACTATATTAATTAACAAAATTTTAATTTAATAGATTTTATGATTCGTATATTCGTATATTCATATAATGTAAAATATTAAATTTTATATATTTATATCATATTTTATACGATAATTATGTGTCAAATTTATATCGACATAAAAATATAAAATATATTTTATTTAATTTTTAAAATTTATATATAATTATTACTAAAATTTTAAATTATATCATATTCGTGTCTTTTTTTTATCATATTGTGTCACCATATCGTATTTAAGATTATTAAATTTATAATTTAAATACCATATTATAAATTTTTAAATTTAGATATTACATTAAATATTTTATATCATAATTCATGAGTCAATTATAATATTAACTTTTTTTCTTTTAAAAAAATCCAGTAAAAACATGCAAAGTTCAAAAGACAATTGTTGACAATGCTGATTGGCAAATCTATGATTCCATTTATTTTTGGCCCAACATTATTAGTAAATTAGTAAATGAGTATGGTATTTTTTGCAAACTATTATTTTGGCGAGTATAAATAATCAAATTAGATTAGATAGTGACAAAATATATAATGGTATACGTCATTGAAGGTGAAATTGGACCTTAGTCGATGACATGTTATGTTTTTGAAATAGAGTTTTTATATGATCAAATTTAAATATTTGATATTATTTATATTAAATTATAATCATTAAAATTAAAAATCAAACACCATATAATTTTGAGTTTAAGACTCGTTTAAACCATGATTTTTCTCCCAAATTAAAGGCGTTTGAATTTGAATTTTTTTAATTCAAATATATTTTAACTGCAACAACGATGTCAAATTAAATTTATAACATGAAAATGACAAAACTTAACCCTACAATAAAAGAACAAAGAGGCAAACAAGAATATAAAAGGTTCTACATTAAGCAACAAAAATATGACCAAGTGAGAATTATGAGATGGACCTTCCGGCAAAGTTGTCGCACGTGATTGACAAAATTTAGGATAAACAGCACGTTATGTCCGCTTAATTTAGAATTAAGATATGTATCAATAAGTGATTGATTTAATAAATTAAAGTTATTATCTTTAATGAAAAAATATTGATTTGAGTTCTGTCGATAATTATTCGTTGAAATCATTTTAAATACACGATTTATAATTACTTATTTTATGTTATCAAATACGATATATCTTATCTGACATAAAAAATTAAATAATTTATTTATTTCGAATTAAAAAAAAAAAAAGGAGATGTGATTTTCGTTGGTAGGTTAGACAAAGACGTTTAAATCAATCAGTTTTTCTTGAAGCTAGTTGCCGGTAAAATAAAAACAATTCTGTGGATTTATGGTCGGCCAACAAAACAAGAACATGAACAAAAAGTTAAGAAACATATCATTTGCAATAACACGAGTAAAAAGCCAAAAACATGACTTGGGAGAGATTGTACTTCTCCATTATAGTCGTTAACCAGTGTTGTTATCCCATTGTCAAAAATTATGAATCCTATAAATCATCACAGTTAAGATTTACTCGGTGTTTGTTCAGTTAATAAGATGAAAAATATTTTAATTTTTTCGTCTGTTTGAACATTATTGATTTTCACGAAATAAAAACAAAATATTTTAATTTAATATATTTAATATTAAAATTATTTTTTTATAAAATTAAAATTTCATAGCATTTAATGTCAACAAGTTAAAAAATTTTAAAATATAAAAAAAGAGTTTTAAATATTACAAAAATATAATTTTAAAACATATAAAAAAATGAGATAAAGAAAAATTTTTAATTATCAATGTTCAATTAACGAAGAACATTTGAAAGTAAAATTATAAATGTATCAAATCGATATAAAAAATATTAAAATAATCAAAAAAATAAAATTAATTTAAGATTTTATTATTTAAGAGATCTATTTCACTATTTATATTAAAAAATATTTCTAAGTTCTATTTCCTATATTTCAATCATTTGCAATAAGTTGGAGAGAGAAAATTGCTAATTAATTAATTAATTAAATGAAAAGGAAGCCAAAAATTAAACATATGCAGATGAAACCAAAGAGCAACAAGACAATAGAGGGAAGACTGAAAACTGGTACACTCTTAGATTAGGTGGAAAAATAAATTAAAAAATTAGAGAAAAGGGGCAAATGCCATGCTGCCCAAATGATTATACATGCTTGTCTGAGACCATTATCATTTGTTAACAATACAATATTGATGAGATAGGTTTGACATTTACAGGCGGACAAGGTTCATATTAATTGAACTTTGAAGAAAAAAAATCAAAATTTAGTCATATATTATATTATATTGAAGAATGAAGGGATTCAAATATTTTTTAAACAAAAAAATAATATATTAATCATTAAAAATTAAGAATAAATTACATAAATATATATCGAGATTTAACAATATTTGAGTTTGTCCATGAAATTTTAAAAGTGACATTTATTGATTATGAGTGGTGTATCCATGATATTTTGTTAATTTTTATTAATGCGTTAACACCTAATCAATAAATCCTAACTCTCTTCTCAAAATTTTTTTATTTGCTTTTTTTTTTTTAAGATTCAAACTTAAAAAAGAAAAAAGATTGAAAACATGACTATTTCACAATGTTCAACAAGTGAGGATCAAATGTTAAAAAAATATACTATTATGACATGTGTTGCCAGTTAATTTTTTAATTTTTTCTTTTTTTTTTCTCTATTTTAGAAATCTAAAAATTTTTAAAAATTTCAAACTGAAATCCACAAAAAAAAAAAAATCATTGTTGATGAGTTGTTATGTGAATTTATGATTATTTTGTGAGTTTACTATATGTAAGTAATTCATGATAAATTTGGATTCTATGAGTTTTTTTAGTAGGTACTTTGTTTGTTTATGGGTTTGTTAGCAGTTGTCTTTGGGTTTCTAGTGGCTATCGACTGAAAATTAGTTATTTGTTTGATGCTTGACGTAATTCCTAATAACAATATAACAATACTCCATTCCCAAAAGTTTCAATCAAGAATAATAAATACAATTAAAAAATACCAACATCAACTTATCTTTATTTAATTTATCGATAAGAATATTACACTATTGAATCTTCTTAAAGTTCGTAAAGTCTTACCTATATGCATGTTATTTAAATTAATATTTAACTAATTTATTAATTTAACCATTAACTATCATATTTAATATAAAATTACTATAATAGTAGCTTATTTAATTTAATGAGTGCCATGAAAGCACTCATTAGCAAAATCCTTTTTCAACAAATAAACTTAAGACATTATTTTAATTAATTGTTTTAATACTTTTCATCTTTACAATGATATCTTTATAAATTTAGATCCATAAATATAAATATATACAAAAAAGATTCGCTTGCATCAGTGTAAGTATTTTTATTTTTTATTAAAATTAAATTTATAACACTTATATTTTTAATTCAAAGATTAAAAGAAAAAAAAAACTTATATTAATATAAGTGAATTCTTAATCATAAATATATATATATCCATTAAGCTTTATTTATAAGATTCAAAATTCAATTCAAAGTTCAAACTTTGATTTTAAGATTAAAAAAAAAAAACGAATATTCAAATGTTGACAAAATAATATTTTTATTACGAACAACAAAGTTACAAAACAAAAAGTAGTTTCTAAAATTAGAGGTGCTTTATACAAACAATTTTAGTCAAGCTACTTGAACATTAGTGTTGAAGGTGAAAAAAAGTTTTAATGAAAAAAAAAGTGCATTTAAAAAATATAATTAAAAATTTTAAGTATTTAATATTATTATGAAAAAAAAATTGTATGTAATTGAAATATTTATATATATAAAATATTAAAATATTAAAAAAAAGATAATATAGTGAATTTTTTATTTGAAACAAAAATTTCACTGTAAAAATATTTCTTTAAAAGTTTTTTGTTTGGATTTATAAATCAAGTTTTTAAACTAAAAAACTATAAATAAATATTAAAGGTTTAAGAAAATTTTGTTTGAATTTAAAAAATAAAATTAAATTAAAAAGTTATATATATTTTAATTTTAAAATTAAATAAAAAATTGTTTAAACGTAAAAATTAATTTCGAGAATAATTCTTAAGTAAACTTTAATATTTGTTCACAACGGTCAGATAATTCAAGCAGTTTTGCGAATCAGGTTAGAAATAAAAAAACCAGAGTTCCATTAAGCCATTTACCAAACACACCCCTTTGTCCCAAGTCCCAACGCCTTCTCCCAGCCAATCCCATCGCGAGTATGGACCACGTACCCAACTACAACAATCATTTTTATTTTCTTTCATTGCCACTTCAATTTCTTCTTTTACTTTCTTAAACCTGAAGACATCACCAAAACAATCACTTTCTTAGTCCCAGATTTCTCGCCTAATTCTTCGGGAATCCTTATTTCAGGTAAATTCTTTTTTTGTTTCACATCTCAATTGCGTTATTTGTTTTTGTCGAATCTCTGCTTTTTATTAGGAACATGTGATTCATTGGTAGCAAGTGAGATTCGATTTAATTAAAATATTCTGTTTTAGGGAATAGATTTGATTTAATTCCAATTGTTTACATTGAAAATTAGCGGAAAAGAAAAATAATTTTGGTTATTTGATAAGTTTTTGGGAGCTGTGAGTATGAATTGAAGGAGATTTAGTGGAAGAGATGAATGTGAGCCATGCCTCGGTTCACCCAGTGGAAGATCTACCGACCACGGACGGAGGCGGAGGCGGCGGCAACAACAACGAGGTGCCAAGAGTGAGGATGAAGGATATTCAAGGAATGCCTGGTACGCCAGGAGGGCTCGCGTTGAGGATATGTCAGTTTGTTTTTGCAGTTATGGGACTTTGTATTATGGCAACCACTAGTGATTTTCCATCAGTTACAGCATTTTGGTAATACTTTTGATTATTGCTAAAGGTTTTGTTTTCTGCTTAATGTTAGTTTGGATTTGCTAGTGATGATGAGTATCAACGCTTGATATGCTCTAAAACTTGTATGGAAATGATGCTATAAATTGAATGTCGGAACCTTGTTCGTATATATTTGAATCGGATTTTAGAATTTAATAATTGAACATAGGAGGCTGCTTAATTGGTTGCCACATGGATTGGTTTGGGTTTTTCTTTGATTGCATCTGTAGTAATTGTCCATTTACATCTAGTTCAGACATAGTATGTCTTGTAAGATCATCAATATCTTGGTTCATTTATTAACTCAAAGTGTAATTAGCTAGTATATTTAATGAAGGGAGGGCTAATTTTATGTAATAAAGCATTAAAAGCCCACTTTGAACAACACATCAAAGTTTTACAATTTAGTGCTTACTAAGGAGGCGAATTTTTTGGATAAGAAAAGGAAATAAACCAATTTACCATATGTTTTAGATATGAAAATTAGCATATTTCCCTCTCAATACATGCTTTCTGTTTTTGGTTTGTTTCAAGCATAATCCGCTGGCTGTTAAAACCTTAGGGTGATTTGCTAATTTGACATGTTTTACATGCCAAGTGGTGTCTTAGATCAAACTCTCTATGAGATGTCAAAGATATAGAGCGTGAGTTCTTAGAAAATGGCAAATGGCGATAGTAGTATGACTTACATCACACTCTCTAGGTGCTTTATTATCTGGGCTTTTTGATAATCATAAAAAGGGGTGTGCAAGAGATAGGTTCTCATGCTCGCAACTCTTCAAGGAGGAGTTAGACCTCCTTTTGCATTGGGAGGGAATGTAATATCTGGATTGCAATTTGATCTCTCTTAATAGATCCATTGCATGTGTGTTTATTATTCAGCACTTGTTTCCTATATGCCTTACTATTTGAAGTTCTTCCATATGCGGTATCTTTTATATGCAATCCTTATGCTTTTGGAATTCACATACAGTTAACAAAGTGAAGCAACTAGTATTGTTTTATAGTCTGCATTTGAAGTTATCATGACTCTTTCATAACCAGATTTTTTTTATTTGCTACATCAGCTACCTTGTTGCTGCCACTGGTTTGCAGAGTTTGTGGAGCTTATCGCTAGCTATTATTGACGTTTATGCCCTTTTAGTGAGGCGTTCCATGCAGAATTATCATGTTGTTAGTCTGTTTACTATTGGTGATGGGGTAAGATGTTTTACATTTTGCAGTTACAAGTAAAGCTAAAGGTTGGAACACGTGATGTCCTATTAGTTTTTGTTGAACCATAGGAAAATCTTTAATTTGCATGTATGGCTTTCTTTCAAATCTATCCTGTATCTACCTGTATTACTGCTAGTTTAAGCAAATCTGCTATGGCCTCAACTACTGGCTGCAGTTTGCTAGGACATGGTATTTGTAACATTCAAAACTGCTTGGTTGACCTTGTGACTTCTTATGGAGAAAAGCTTTGTTCTTTTCTTTGAAAAGTGCAGTTAATCATTACTTATTCCAATATTATTCAACTTTCTTTCCTCATTGACAAGTTTGGCTTTTAAAGCAATAAATTTGTATTAGTAGTCTTCAATGTGATTTTCCAATCAAAGCTTATTGACTTGCTATGGGTTCTGATGTATGCTGCTATGAAACATAGGTGTTTGCATTGGCCAACAACTAGTAGAAAGACTAGTAGTCGCTAGTAAGTTATGCTGGAACTGGATTTAAATTTTGGTAATGGCACTTTGTTATATGTTTTGCCCAAACTTAAAAAATAAGGTTCCTACATTTTTACCAGTCTTTGTTTGAAGAAGCCTCAAGTTTACCATTGCTTTCATGCACTGATCATATAGTTATTCCCAGGACACCTGTAGAACTTTTTGCTAATTATCCATAGAATACTGAACTTTGCATAGTTTCTGCTTATGCAGTGCAAGCTAATTATGTGGAGTAAATTTGATCAGAAAGACAATTTTGAATTATGTGAAACCTTTCACCATGTCTTGCAGACTTGCATTAGTTAAGACCTCAAACAGTTTTTTCTGCTGTTTGTTTTATATCTCTCCATTCTCTTACACTTTACATGTGTTAGATAGATATTTTCTGACATTTTGGATTCTTTTTAGTCTTGATCATATGTTCTTTTACCTTGCAGATCACATCCACTCTGACATTTGCTGCAGCTTGTGCTGCTGCTGGCATTACCGTTCTTATTGACAATGATCTTGATAGCTGTGCACATAACCATTGCGCACAGTTTGAAACTGCTACAGCAATGGCCTTCACTAGCTGGTTTACTGCATTACCTTCATTTCTCTTGAACTTTTGGTCACTGGCATCCCGATAAAAGGGAACATGAAAAATTTGAAGTAGAATGAGTAAACAGGTAGTTTTAGAATGCCATGTGAAGCATTTTCTTATGCTAAGTATATTTCCTTGTATCATTCTCAAGTGCTTTGAAAACAAAAACTCGGTTGTGTTATTTTAAAGTTGTATAGTTTGTTTTGTAAATCAGGCTGCGAGACAAGTATCTGGGAATAGCATTATCAATACTATTTGCTTTAATATACACTTTTGGAGATGGAATGATTGGATCATATTAATGTCAACATGTATTTTTTTTAAAATACTATTAGATTGTGTGTTTGTGCTTCTAATTTGTGTACTATTGAGCTGCTCCTTGTTCCTCTGGTTTTCAGTTGCAGGATTCCAGTTTTCTCTCTCTCGTTTAAAGAATCCTTTCCCAAGGGCTGGACTTTAACTAGTCATGGCCTCGGTCTAGCCAGGCCCTTTACCCAGCGCTGTATTTTTTTATATATTATATGTACTACCATATAATAATTGATACAGTTGGGGGAAATTTTTTTACAGCTCATCTTTAAATGGTCAGCCACTGTCTAGTGCTACGGTAATAGCATAGACATAGTCGGCCAAACCAAACTGGGTGAATATGAGTCAAATCCAGAGACAATTCATACTGCGGAGTGCTATCATACAGTTTACACTACACAACACACGGCCCCACTTGGTGTCAACATCTCTGCTGCTGCTGCTCTGATTGCTGCCCTCACAACACAGCATTCTGCTGGCCTATAACTGTAACCAATATTCACTCAACAGCATCCCTATTAATACAGGAAACATCAAGTCCTAGAAAAAAATTCACTGCAGTGAATTTTGGGTTGAACCCATCACTGCCATATGACCTGCCGACCTATGGGGGTGGGGTAGGTGCCTCTTTTCAGATCCCTCATTATTCCTAAAAATTTATCCAGCGTTAGTGATGAAAATAAAACAAAAAATTCGAAAATCTATTTAAAGTTATAATATTTGATTCGATTCTGATTTTTTTATTTGATTCAAATCGATTGTAAATATTAAATATATATTAATTTTAATTTTAAATAAAAATTAAATTAAATTATATATGTATTTTTAATATATATTTTATATTTTTATAAAATAAAAATAATAATTTTGTTTTAAAATAATATAAATAATTAATAAATTAATAAATCAAAGAATTAATAAAATTTAATTCGATTTAAATTAAATATAAATATGATTCAAATCAAATTTTAAATTTTTATAACTTTTATAATATTTTTAAAAAAATCGAATCGGACCCTATTACTTTAAGATTCAGAGTAAGTCTTCAATAGAGTTTGAATGGAATGCAGGAAGGGGAATGCTGCCATGGATTCCATTGTACAATGTTATGATACTTCACACCAAAAAGACTTTACATGGTTTAAACAAATTTTGGGTGCACCAAAAAATTTAATTAAATTTAATAAAATGCAAACCTGAACTGGGTGCTTGAATATTACAAAACTCAGTTCTTCATTTCATTTTACATCTCCCCCTTTCCTCGATTTGTTCATCATTTCCATTCAGCTTGAGGAAAACCTGGGGTGTCGGACAAATAAATTATAGCAAAATGTTTTCACACAAAAGACCAGTTTACAAAAGAGAAGGCCAGGCAGTGGACAGTGCTCTCATCGGCTTCAAGGACTTTCCAAGCAACAGCTTGTTCATACGAGGCATGGCGTCCCATCGTTGACATGCAGATTCCAGCCGGCAAGTAAGCAAATCCCTGTTAAGAAAATAGAAATCTTTAGCCAATTATGCACCCCTCTTCCATTATTTCCTCTGCCAAAATATTTAACTTCGGGTTGACTAGTGCCTGCAACTAGTATCCTCTATTATTTTCAAAACAAAACAATGCCATTTTTAACAATAAGAGGAGTACCATTTGTATTTAGCACTAACCTCCTGCATCAACTTGGCAAAATCGGAGCACAATCCCTTGCGTCCGGACTCATCAAATATTTTATCCAGTGTGATGTCTTGTAGAGCCACTAGGGTTGTCTCAAGCATGTCAAGCCCAGCTTGATTTGCAAAAATGAAAACTGGTAGCGACTGCAAAACACAAACAGAAGCATTACTTGAGAAATACTTGATTTGAAAAAGTTATGAAAAAGGCATCCATGAAACCTGATATACAAGGTTTGAAGATAAGCTTCTAGTATTCTAGATTTTTCAATGGAATTGCTGTTATACCTTCACCGAACAACACAATATGGCATCCTGATGGTGCCAGAGATTCTTCAATATTGAGTCACCACCAAGTGATTCAGATCTCAACAATTCTGCCCCTAAATGGTAACTGAAGAAAAAGGAATTAAAAAGGCACATTAGCAACTAGAACAAAGAAAAGGAATGAATGAGCTGATTCAGTAAACCAAGAGCAAATGTTTATTCAAAAGTACATAAAAATTCCAATTGGATGTTAGCAAAAACTACTAATGTTTACAAAAAATTAAATTAACTCGCCTGTAGCTCTGGCAGATCCAGTGAGCCAGTGTAAGTGCTTCTGGAGAGCCTGGAGATAGCTTTGGTCCTACAGCTGGGCTCAATCCAGATGGAGATATGGCCATGGCAACCCTCTGGAAGGAAGAAATGACACTTCGGACGTACTGGCGTGCCATGTTTGCAACATTGTCCTGAAGATTGCTATCAAAGGGAAATTGGAAGGCAATTGTCAACACCGATCTTGTGTTCTGACATGATAGAGCATCTCCTGCAGAATGGTTTGTTGCAGGCCCCACTTCAAGACTAGAAGTGAGATCCAGAGTCCGATTTGTAGTCAATGAATCCTGTGTATCAGACTGAATAAAAACACCATCAGTATCTGGTCTTGCATTAAGGACTGATCTTCAAATAAGATTAAAAGCTGGCATCAAAAACTAGATATATGTTAAAGAGTATTTATTATTCACCTCAAGATAATTAAGCAAATTTGTGTCCTATTATGGGCACTCATTATTTCATAACTTCTAATCTATTGCATTAGCATTTTCTATAGAACTGTCACAACATAGCCTCAAAACATACTATTAGTTCTTTTGTTTCCCCTTATCTATGGTGACAATTGCCTTTTTTTTTTTTTTTCACATGATGATCACCTATTGTTATAAAAATTTATAACAGAAAAGCAGGAAAAATTCAGGTGAATTCAGTGAAACCTAACTGGTTTTGACTCCAATGGAATAATGCGGAATCCAGAAGGTAGTAGGGGAGCATCATCCGGAAACATCTCATCAATAGGAGCAAAGACAAGCTCTGAACAGGCTCCAACAGCATTCTCGTCAATTCCACAGCATATCTGCAAAGAGGATGGTGTAAATAAAGTAAATATGCATATGCAAAACTTGGAAAAAAAAGCAGGGTGATATACAATAAACATATTTTAGACATTCCATACAGCTGTAAAATATGAAGGCAATTTACATAAACCGAGATCATGATTTAACCATTAGCTGGAAGACCATAAATCTAGCATTATAAATCTAACTCTCCCAGTAAGGTTAATCCATGTTAAAAAGGTATGTTAAAGGCTGCAATTACAATAGCAACGAGAAGTAATTAATGTAATTAATCAGGATGCAATTTATTGTAAACAAGTTGAAGATTTAAATCAAAGATCAGAAGACTTGAAAATTTTGACAGCAAATGCAGCTACTTATGGTTTCAAGCAATAATAACATACTGATTTCACGTTAAACATGTACAAAAGACCAGTAAAATTACTGAAGGTGTCAAGTTTTATATTCTAATTTAACAAGTAAATAAACATCAACATTCAACTGGATGTTGTGAGAAAAGCACCTGCAATAGATGAACATCCCTTGATAAAAAGGCATCTTCTTGTACAAGAGAATGGCCTTCAAGTCTTATAACTTCGAGCAGCTGATACATGATAAATACAGCATTACCAAAAGTTTATTGGACAGAAGAGTAAAGATGTCACTTTCAATTGAAAACAAGAGAAAAGAAAAGTTAAAATGCATTTTATGAAAACTCGTAAAGAGGAAAAAGAATAAAGAATTAATCATTTAACACAAGTATTTGCTTGCAATCAAGACCTGCTAGGCGCTTAGAAACTTTTAATTAAATGATTTACAAAAGAAAAAAGAAAGGGCATCTCAGGGAACTCAGTTTTGCCCTGCTTAAATTATATTATATTGCATAATTGAAACATATCTTAAATTTGTAGAACTCTATTTGCTTACACATCAACCATCTAGCATACTGCAGGGGAACAGAATAACCACATAGAAGATATACCTCTTCATTTTCAATTGTGTGGCCAAGTGGCATGATGATCTGACTCCCAGTAAACCTCGTAGGTCTCATTCCAGGATAAGCATATGTTCCAGCCTTCAATGATGCAGCAGAATAAGCATCAACATTGAAATCAGCCCACTCAGAGCGGTGCTCCCTCAGGAAACGGACAAGCACAGCAGGAGGAACATTCTGGCAGAAAAAATAACAAGGTACATGGTCCCATTAGTTTCAATGTCAAACATGGTGTAGAGAAGGCTTAAACTTTTGCGTGCAAGAAGAATTTTTTTTTTTTTTAACTTTCCAACAAATTACTTGTCGCTTGCAATAAAAAGAAATGTGTAGGTAATATAGAATAAGAAAACTTGCTCATTAAATGAGCAATTTTATTAATATTGTCAGTATTATAGAATAAGAAAATGGTTTTCCATTTCTAGGGGTTTTCTAGAACTTACTTGAAGCAGCATGGACGCCTTTGCACAAAGAACACCCCCAAGGAACGAAAGAGCGTTGGCAGGATTTGAAGTGCTGCTCAAGCGCTTGCTTGAATTGACAGCAATTATCACATCCTCAGTACCATCACAATTCATTATTGACCATCCATCATCATTGAATCCATTTATTGCGTCATTAAAGCCTCTACAAAATGATAGACACAATGCTTCAATGAAACTAAAGAGCATAATAGATTCCTAAATGCTCAGGTAAACAGGTTGTGGACATACAATTGCACGTTTCTTTTGCACAGTCTTTCTTCATAATCTAAATAAGGACAAGGATTTAATATAATCTTGCAGCTACCTGCTTAATCTTTGGCTAAAAGTTCTCAGGACAGCTGGCTGCCTGCCCAGACTGTATACCACCTCACCACTTGTCTCCTGAGCAATCTGCCTGACGTAGCGCAGTGCCTTTGCAGAGATCAATTAATCAGTACCTTTAGAAAATGCCTTTTGAAGCTCAAAAATAGGGAAAAAAATTTCCTATGTTTTGGTACTTTTTTGTGTTTAGAGGACAATCAAACCGAATAGGATACATGCCAACAAGGTGAATAAGCACCATCATTGTAAAACAAAATTTATAAAACATGAATCTGCTTAGAAAAACAAATGTTTGTGGGACACATTTCAAGGCCTGCAACAATTAAAAACACCCTGAAAAATTTATGGGCAAAATTTTGTACTCCAAATTTGTAAATTGGTTAATCAATCTATCTGATCCTGTTGATTAACGACCCATGTTTTTGAGTTGCACTAGTATATTATCACCTTACACTAGGGAATTTACTCACCGCAATCGTCATTTTCTGAGCAATTACTTTTGATGATTCATAAAGTGAGCGCAGCACCTCTGGCACACTCCATGCCTGCAATAAGGTGTTCAAAAATTGACTTTCCACAAAAGAGACATCTGAAGATGTCTGAAACATACCTACTTATCAGAAGTCCTACCTCAAGATTCAGGTGGTCAACAATATGGATGATTGACCCTCCACCCTCACAAGGCCTAATCAAATAGCCACTAGGAAGCACTTCAGCTCTCACAAATTGAGCAGCAGCAGCTGCACTTGGGCCAGCACCAGAACCAGAAAGAGACCTCTCACAGACCTTAGAAAAGACAGCAAAAAAGAAAAATCTTGTCAGCACCTCCAATCATATTACTCTCAAGCATGTATATCAAATTACATGGACTTCAAGGGAGAAAAAAATGAATAAAAAGCATAACTCCTCAAACCAAGCAATCATAGGACAATCCAATAAGCAACGGAAAAGCTCGGCAAGTACCACATGATGCAACACTTCAACCTTGACATAGCACTGATTTACATTATCTAATAAATGACAACTGCAAGACATGCATACCACGAGACTGCCGTTCTCTAAAGTTGTAGTGTATCTTAGAGTCCAAAAGTCTCTTGCAGGAGCCAGCGTAGTTGGTGCGAATGTCTAAAACAGTTCTCATTTAAGTTATTACTCATGAGAAGGGGGTAAACATTCATTCATTTATAAATAAAATATATAAATAATGGAATGATTCTCCTTCACCTGTGTGTATACAAGCTCAATTGTTCCGCCATTGCCAGCAGGAAACATGGTGAAAACTTCAAGGTTACGGCAGTCCCGGAACCAAGATGGACGATCTTTAAGAATCTCCGCAATCTATTAACAATAATTTAATTGTTTTGTTAAGATCAAATAGGTTATGTATAATAATAAAATGTCTCAATTGTTTATAATGACATCAGAATTCATACCTTAGTAGGTTCTAAACTTACAAGACCGCAGGCTCGAGCTGCCACTCCACTACAACTTTGGGAAATGGCAAATATCCCAACCGAATCCGGACCAGGCTATAATCAAATTTAAACAAATGGGATCAGACACACTTCTGATTTTTTATGCAAGAAAAAAAAAACTCTAGATTCATATACAAAATCAATAAACGACAGAAATAAAGGAATACAGCATCTGTACAAGACAATGACAAACCTTCATCCCAGGCATCTGGACCCAATCGACAGCAGTTCCCGTAGCCTTGGAAAGGAACTCTGCCAAGGTCTCCTCTGCAATGGAGAGGAGTCTGCCAATAAGAAAATTCACAGCATGTATTAGAAAAAAGAAATATACATATACATATATATATATGTATATATATATAGAGAGAGAGAGAGAGCTAGTTCATTGTAAGTAATAACTGAACTTACCCAGCAGGGTTATTGGCATCTCTCAGTGAATGCTGAGGAGTGGTAACCACAGAGTCACAGCTTGCATCAGTTGCTGATGCCTGCAAAGGAATCCAAAAATAAACAGCAATAACGTCAAAACACCAAAAAAGGGAACAAACAGAAAATGCAGATTCCTTGTTTATAGTAATTGGCCAAAATAATCCTCTAACGCAAAGTAAGCAGCAAGTGGCATGATTACAAACAGAAGTATGGTAAAGGCGGAATTTTACATAGATAGAAAGACCCAAGAACAAACGAACAACGATTCACAATTTAAGGCAAACACCAAATGGGGAGCATAGGACACAAAACTCACATATAACCGTGATGGCAAATTAAAACCATTCAATTCTTAAAAATTGGCATGCCATAAAGATCTATCAAATGCCTAACAGCAAAGAAGTAATAAAAAAATATAAATTACTATATCCAGTACTTAAACTCCACTTAAAATGCAAATACATGACAAATGTTCACATTATACATTTTGATAAGTTCATTAGGGTGAAATGAAGAAGATCGAAGAGCAAGGGACTAAAAGAACATACATTGACAGTATGCAGTTGTTGCCTCATATATCCATTCTCGCAAACCAGCTGAGACACCTGCTTTTGCAACCGATCATTCTCCTCCATCAACAGCTTGTTCATTGCTGTTAATTTTCTATTTACAGTCTGCAGCCTTGAAGACTCTTTTCTTTGCTTTTCTCTACACCTGCACAACCCAATGACAACCCCACAACTAAAATTTTATAACTCCAAAAATAAAGAAAACAGAAACTACTCATCCAAAAAAGTCCAATTTTTCTGAAGTTTATAACAATTACAATCAAAGGCAAAAAACAAGATCAAGATCAAGTTTTTCTACCTGCGATTTTGAAACCAAACTTTGATCTGTTTAGGTTCAATATGAGAAAGAATGGGGCACTCCCTTATCAACTGTTGCCTACGCAAGGAACTTGGCTTGGGGCACTCAGCATAGACTCGTTCCAAAGCTTCAACTTGCTCAGCTGTGTACCTAACATACTTGCCAGCATCAAGATGTTTGTTGATGCTACTGCCACTACTGCTATCCCTGTGTTGGGCCAACGCCATAGCCATTTCTTGCCAAAACCAAGATTACAAGAACCAAGCTTTGTTTATATATGAAGAAGTGATCAGAGAGAGAGAGAGAGAAAGAGAGAGAGAGAGAGAATGAGTGACAGAAGGAAATAAGCTGTGAGCTGAGTGATAAAAGAGCTGCTTGTTTTGGAGGATTTGGCTTCAGAACTAAGATTCTTTTGTTTCTTAGTAAAGTCCGTCCTTTATTATGATATATGAAACAAAAGAGAGAGCATGAAAAAGAAGCTAAAATGAGGAGTTTCGATTTGAGACAGCCTCAAGTAAAAGCCGAGTAGGTGGTTTTTTTTTGGTTTCTTGTCTTCTATTTTCTCTAGCTGATGATGATCAAGATGGTGAAATGAAAAAAAAAGAAAATGGCTCTCAAAATCTGCCTCACAGATCCAAACTTTCAGAACGTTTTTCAAAAGCGCAACCCCGTGAAATCTTGATACCAATACCAAAAAAAAAGCACTGCTACCAAGCAAGCTCGATATCACTGAAATGGCTTCTCAAGCCAGCTTCAACTCTGGTTACCAACCTAACTACCCTTTACCAAAAAAAAAAAAAAAAAGGAAAGCTTTGAAAGGCTCTCTCAAAAAAGAGAGCCCAGAAACAGTAGCATCACAATAGAGCCGGTTTTTGGCAAGAACCAACCACAGAAATGTGAAGAGAAACTGAAATCTTAACCATGTTGAGGAAGAAGAGTCTCAACAAACCAAAGAAAATATTTTGAACTCGTCTCAAAGAGTTTTACAAAGAAGAATAAAAAAGAAAACCCAACAAAATATAAAAATTTGTCAAAACTCAAAACAGACTTGAAGAGAGAGAAAGCGAAGAAAAAAGTTGTGACAGTGAGTGATCTAAGAAGTCTCAGCTTGAAACAGTAGGGAATAAAAGAGAGAGAAAGAGAGTTCATTTGCACGCAAACCGACAAACTTACCAGAGGTGTTTTTTTTTTTTAATTTTAATACTATACATCACTAGCTCACCTCATTTACTTTACTGTCCCTATTGTCCGTTTGAAATGACATGTTATCCCCAACGCATGATAAAGTAACAAAATCTAACCAAATTGAATGTAACATTATGGATTTGTCTGTCTTTATCTTTGTCTTTGTCTTGCAAGGTTAGGTGTTCGGTTCACTGTACATAACCTTCTTACAAAAAGAATTAGTTGAAATATCCATGTTTTCTTTGTCTAATTATCTCTTTTTTTCTTTTGTAATTCTATTGCTAACATGCTTCTTAAGTTCAATAATTGTTGTTCATGCATCATTCTAAATCGATTTTGTTCTTTTGTTTTGTTTGGCTTTTAATACAAGAAAAGAACACTATCACAACTGTTTTTAATTATATCCGATCCATTTCACTAAATCTTATCTTAATAAGTTTAACCGTCAAAGTATACATGTAAGTAAAAACGATATTAACATCAATTACGTGATTTGTTGATTGTAAAATATTAAATTATTAATTATAATTATTAAAAGTTAAATTTTATCGTTTTTAAATGTATCAAAGACGAAACCAACATAATTATAAAGGAATCAAAATATTAAATTAAGACAAAAGGTAAAATTTTATATAAGAGGAATCGAGTTAAAATTTATAATATTATCAAAATTTTTTGAAAATTTATTTTTTTTATTCTCTTAAATTTACTTTTATATACATGCATATATTTTGTTAAAAATTTTGAATTTAATTTTTTTATGAAAAAATACATATTTTTAATGTTCAAATGCCATGCATACATAGTTTTAAACATTATATTAGTTCTCAATATTTGACTATTTAATACATTGATTAATTATGAGAAACGAGGTTTTTCTTTGGTGAAGTGTTAGACTTACTTCTTGTTGTTTGCATTGAGAATCCAAAAAGAATAAACATTTAAGTGAAACCAAAACTAGAAAAAACAGTGATATTATACTGTCAAATCTATCAAAAATTTTAAGAGTATTTTTTACGTATATATAATTAAAAAATTTTGTTTATAGATCAAATTGTGAAATGAAAATTAAAAATCCGAAGATTAAAACCAGCATGGGTATTGCAAATGTCAAGTTCTAGATGATCTCTCTTCTCGGGTTTGTACTTATCTTGAAGAACACTCCATAGTTTCAATTGATTCGATCTTTTGGTTTAAGATGGTAATAATTTAGATCATATTAAATTTGATTTATTTTGTAGATATTATATAATATTATAAAATTTTAAAATTTAATATAAATTTAAATTAAATTTTAATTTGATTCAATTTGAATCAAATTAAATTTTATCTAAGATTGAGTAAACAATCAGTGTAATTAATTTGATTATAAAAATCAAATGATCTATTTAACTACTTAATTTATCACAAAAATCAAACTGATCGATATATACATGAGGAAAATAAAAAAAATCAAATTGAATTAAGGTGATTGATTTCGATCGATTTTCTTGAATTAATCGGTTCTATTTTTTGTTTCATACATTAAGTATACCTATATCATATTGTTATATATACCTATATCATACATATTTTAATTATTTATTTTGTATTAAGTTGAATATTTTAGTTTATTTGATTTAGATATTTTAAAATTTAAAATCAATTGTTTTATCCATTTAAATTGAAATAATAATCAAAATATTCATATAACTCGAATTATCGATTTTTCTTGAAAATTCAATTTTTTTTTTGTTTTAACTAAATTTTGCTTAACCGTAATTTTATCGGTTTGATTTGATTTGGTTTATCAGTTTTTAATTTTTATATATTATTTTAATATAAAATTTTAAAATATTTAATTAAATTTTGATATAAATTATTAATTTTATTTTATAAATTTTTAAAATATATTTAAAAACTAAAAAACATATATAATTCAATTCAGTTCAAATTTCCACCTCTTAATTAAAAATTCGATTCAAACTTAATACATATATTTAATATAAAAACTTGATTCAAAATAAAAAAAAAAAAAAATTAAATCAAACACTACAATTTCAAATTAACTTTTAAATTTTTTGATTTTTTTTCTCAACGGTACTTTTGGTTTCCTTCTCCCTTCGATTAAGGCTGTTGCTTATTGCTATTGGAGCCAATGATTCAGTCAGAAACAAAAGCCAAGGTTCGTAGAAACCTCATCAGCTCGAGGATGGAAACTTTAAAGAATGATTGATCAGTCAAAACATTGGCATATCTCCAGCCTTATTTTTTGGCTTTTTAAACTTTTGTTTTATTTTCTTAAAAACTCTCTCTCCAAATTATATAATAAATTCCCACTCTGAGTTAAGACTCCTAACATGATTTTAATATTATGATAACGAGGCTTCTTGTTTTTTTTTTTTTTCAATTTTTTTTAGCGGGGTTGGAATTTACGACTTTTCAAAATTGAAATTGATTCTACTATCACTAAGTTAATTATATATATATTTAGTTATTTATTCAGTGTTTTAAATGATCATAAATTATTGATGAAAAAATTTGTTTTGAGAGTTAACTTTATTTAATTCATACCAATGTATCTAAACCCTAAGTTTTAAAGTATATAAATCTTATCGGTATGGATGGAGAATTTAACTTTTTTATTTCAATAAAAATGTAAATGGATATTACATTATATAGATGAAGATGACAAAATAAAAATAATATAATTTTACATTTTTTATTAAATACGATAATAGAGATGTGGATTAATAGTATCGATTTATCATATACTTGTATTATATATATTTAGTAAATAACTTTTTATTAAATAAAATAATTTATTATTTTGATTGATTATAATTAATATATTTCCATTTTAAATATATATATACTAATATATTAAAAAAAAAGATATAAATATACAAGATTAAATAAAAAAAAGTTTAAAAATAAATTTTTATTTTTTTAAGAAGCTTTAAATTATCTGTACCTATTAAATACTCATAAATATAAAAATAAAAGTAAATTTAAAATATTTATTAAATATAAATATAAATATAAAAAATGCTTTACCCGTATAACCATCTCCGATAACATCCTACTAAGTTTTAACGTTTAAAATATATATATAAACCAAAAAGTTGATGACCGTGCACAAACAACTACATGATGTAAGTTTGGTTCAATCAAACATATTCAAATGCAACAAATTTAAGAAGAAATTTTAAATGTGGATAATTATGCTGAACCGTTATACTTTTAGTAATAAATATTTAATTTAAAATAAAAATTTTAATTATTTATTAAAAAAAAATTACAGGCAATAGCCCATTACCCATGACTAGTCAATTGTTGGGTGGTGCACGAAAGGAAAGCCACACTTTTAACTTAGACGGTAAAAGCAGGTGAAATTATAGTATTAAAAACTTTGTTATATAAAAATCATCGTGTTCTCCTTTTATTATATATAAGAAAAAAATAGTCAAAGAAACATGCAATTTCACGACAAATTTCAAGATTTGAGGGTTAAAAGGGAAAACGATGGTGCTAATAATCAACCTTTTTCTTTTCTTTTTCTATTGTTTTCGCTTTTCTTTTCTTTTTTTTTTAAATTCAATAAGTCAAAAGACAAGAACATTCTTTATGAAATAACAAAAAAAATGAGGGAGAAAAAGGAAATATAACATATATTGGGAGTGGCAGTCTCGAGATGGATTAGAATATGGAGGATTAATTTTAGAGTTAAAAATATTAGTTTAAAATTTTAATTATATATGTGGGGTTAAAATTTTTATATATATTACTTTTTTTATTTTTTAAATATATTTAAAAGATATATGTTATATTTTTAATTTTGTTTATTAAATTAAAATTTTACATTAATAATGTATTATATATTTATTTTTAATTTTATAAAAAGATATGTAAATTAAAAACTAATGATATTATAATTTGTACATCAATGACAAATTATTCTTGCTCAATCTCATTATCACAATCCGTTGGTTTGACTATTTCGTAAATAGGCATAAATAAATAAATAATATTATATTTTAAAATTTTTAAATTAAAACAATCAAATTAAATAAAAAATTCTTAGATTGTATCTAGTCATCCCAATCATGATGGTTCTAAATTATCCAATTTATCTATTTTTTTGTCTTTTTAATTATATTTTCTATTCTTATTAAAATAAACTACGAGCAATAGACTATTAGTACTATAAAATGTTGAGTTTTAAAATCTTAATCAAGTCAATTCATTATAATCTCAACATTTATAATTTTTTTATAGTTTAAAATATAATTTTTATATAAAAATATTAAATGTTAATTTTTTTTTTTTTAAATAACATCTAACAAGTACGAGAGTTGAATCTTTTTAACCATTTTAATATAATTGCTTTCACTCTATAGCTTCACCTATGGTTACATTAATATAGATTAGGAAAATGATTTTATGTATGGTGCAAAGAATAAAATTTTGAATGTTTGTTTTATGGGAAGGCAACCTTCACCTGCTTTTGGCATGCGAGAAAAGTTAGCATTACGTGCTACCCATGACTACACATGCTGTCCAAATATCTTAATTAATACTGTATGTTAATTATTATAGAGTAAGTATTATTATTATTTCTTCATGGGAAATTATAATCAATTTGACTTCATTAATTATTATGTGTCTATGTATGATTCTCATGAATAATAAAGAGGCAAAAGGATAATAAAGCTAAAATTGTATCACAAGCAACAAAGGGAAAGAGTATTAAAAAAAAAATTATTGTTTTCAAGTGAGTTTGAAAGTAATCTTTTTATTTAATCATATATAATATTATATTATACTAGACATAAAAATCTGATAAAATTTATTTTTGTGAACGTTTAGGTTAACAATCTATATTATTGACATTTAGGATAATTTTAAATATATTTATTCAATTAATTATTTAATTTTTAAAAATTTTAAAATTTATATTTATTCAAAATTTTCAAAATATATAA